GCTGGAACAGCAAGGCCGTTGTGTGCTCCCTGCGTCCCGCTCCTGTTAGTAACATGGCTGCCGCGCGCTGGACTAGCTGAAGCTTCCGGGCCGTCTTCAAGGGCAGCCCCACGTAGAGAGCGTTGCAGTAGTCAAGGCGGGATGTGACCAGAGCGTGTACCACCGTCAGACTTCCCAAGGTACGGGCGCAGCTTGTTGACCGAGAGGTCGCAGGTATGAATCCGGAGAGCAGGGTGAGCTTCCACTGTCAGCCCCAGCTTCTGCCAACCTAGCAGTTCCAAAACATGCACATGTGAGTAGATCAATAGGTACCACTCTGGGAGGAAGGTCACAGCAGTCCACGAAGTCATGCCGGCCACACAACCTAGGAGGTGTCTATGGACAACGCCAGCTCTTTGGCTTAGATAGAGATGAGCACCAATCCCCAGAGTCGGACACGACTGGGACTATAATAATAATAATAATAATAATAATAATAATAATAATAATAATTGTTTTTTTCCCCCAGCATAATTAAAACACGATTCTATAAAATGCGCATATTAAAAATGTATTTCTATAAAAGAGAACATATTAAAATGTCTTTCCACAAAGTACGTATTCAGCGGTCTCCATCTCTCTTCCCCGGTTCTCCCCCCATTCTCCATCTTGAAAAATTCATGGGCTCGTTGTTTGGGGGCGCCCCCTCTGTTTTGGATGGCTACGGGTATATATGTGCGTATGTGTGTATCTATATTTCATAAATCCGTGATTAGAGAAGCTTCTGCCGAAGCGCCTGTCAGAGTGCCCAGCCTTGGATGGCCCCCGTCCCCCCCGGATCCAACCGTGCCAGAGCGAGGCGGCTGTGGCTCTTCCTTCCTCCGGGAATCGAGGCTCCACCTGGGTCCCCGTGTCATACTCCAGCCCCCCGCTGCTTGGCTCCCTCTCCCGTGCCGTTCGTCAGCGGATGGCTTCTCGCTCTCGCAGCCAGGAGCCCCGGGCCGTCCTTTCCGAGGGGCTGGAAACCCCGCCGTTTTCCATTTCTCGATGTGGAATATTTGGAATCCATCGCAGAGTAGAGTCCAGCGTAGACAGGGCTTTAGTTAAGATCATTATCATCGTGGGTATCGATTCCAGAGTCCAGCTAAATAACATAACAACAACAACAACAACAATTGGCCTCTATAGTAGTAGAGTGCCGGGAAGGCAGTGCTCGATATGAGCTGATGATGATGGGGATGATGATGAGAATTGGTATCTAGGTAGAGTACAGTGTAGCCAGTGCTAGATATGAGCTAATAATAATAATAATAATAATCACTGCAATAACAACAATTGGCCTCTATAGCAGTAGAGTGCCGGGAAGCCAGTGCTCGATATGAACTGCTAATAATAATAATAATAATAACCTCAATAATAACAACAATTGGCCTCTATAGCAGAGGGCCGAGAAGCCAGAGCTAGATATGAGCTGATGATGATGGAGGTGATGATGATAACTGGTATTTAGGTAGAGTCCAGTGTAGCCAGTGCTAGATATGAGATAATAATAATAAGAAGAATAATAATAATCACCGCAATGACAACAACAATTGGCCTCTATAGCAGCAGAGTGCCAGGAAGCCAGTGCTCGATATGAGGTGATGATGATGATGATGATAATATTTGGTATCTGGTAGAGTCCAGTATAGCCAGTGCGAGATATAAGCTAATAATAATAATAATAATAATCCAGCTATATAACAGGTAATAAAAACAATTGGCCTCTATAGCAGAGTGTCAGGAAGCCAGTGCTAGATATGAGCTGATGGAAATGATGATGAGAATTGGTATCTAGGTAGAGTCCAATGTAGCCAATGCTAGATATGAGCTAATAATAATAATAATAATAATAATAATAATAATAACCGCAATAACAACAACAATTGGCCTCTATAGTAGCAGAGTGCCGGGAAGCCAGTGCCCTATATGAGCTGATGATGATGGGGATGATGATGAGAATTGGTATCTAGGTAGAGTCCAGTGTAGCCAGTGCTAGACATGAGCTAATAATAATAATAATAATAATAATCACCGCAATAACAACAACAATTGGCCTCTATAGCAGCAGAGTGCCGGGAAGCCAGTGCTAGATATGAGCTGATGATGATGCGAATTATGAGAATTGGTATCTAGGTAGAGTCCAGTGTAGCCAGTGCTATATATGAGCTAATAATAATGATGATAATAATAATAATCACTGCAATAACAACAACAATTGGCCTCTATAGCAGCAGAGTGCCGGGAAGCCAGTGCTCGATATGAGCTGATGATGATGATGATGGGGATGATGATGATAAATTGGTATCTAGGTAGAGTCCAGTGTAGCCAGTGCTAGACATGAGCTGCTAATAATCATCATCATCATCATCATCATCATCATCACCGCAATAACAACAACAATGGGCCTCTATAGCAGCAGAGTGCTGGGAAGCCAGTGCCCTATATGAGGTGATGATGATGGGGATGATGATGAGAATTGGTATCTAGGTAGAGTCCAGTGTAGCCAGTGCTAGATATGAGATAATAATAATAATAATAATAATAATAATAATAATAATAATCACCACAATAACAGCAAGTGGCCTCTATAGCAGCAGAGTGCCGGGAAGCCAGTGCTCGATATGAACTGCTAATAATAATAATAATAATGTTAATGATAACAATAATAATAATAATAATAATCCAGCTATATAACAGGTAATAATAACAACAATTGGCCTCTATAGCAGAGTGCTGGGAAGCCGGTGATAGATATGAGCTGATCAAGAAGGAAATGATGATGATAATAGGTATCTAGGTAGAGTCCCGTGTAGCCAGTACTAGATATGACCTAATAATAATAGTAATAATAATAATAATAATAATAATAATAATAATAATAATAATAATAATCACCGCAATAACAACAATTAGCCTCTATAGTAGCAGAGTGCTGGGAAGCCAGTGCTAAATATGAGCTGCTGCTGATGATGGAGATTATGAGAATTGGTATCTAGGTAGAGTGCAGTGTAACCAGTGCTAGATATGAGCTAATAATAATAATAATAATAATAATAATAATAATAATTCAGCTATATAACAGGTAATAATAATAACAATTGGCCTCTATAGCAGAGTGTCAGGAAGCCAGTGCTAGATATGAGCTGATGGAAATTATGATGATAATTGGTATCTAGGTAGAGTCCAATGTAGCCAATGCTAGATATGAGCTAATAATAATAATAATCACCGCAATAACAACAACAATTGGCCTCTGTAGCAGCAGAGTGCCGGGAAGCCAGTGCTAAATATGAGCTGATGATGATGGGAATTATGATAATTGGGATCTAGGTGAAGTCCAGTGTAGCCAGTGGTAGATATGAGCTGCTAATAATAATAATAATAATAATAATAATAATAATAATAATAATCCAGCTATATAACAGGTAATAATAACAATTGGCCTCTATAGCAGCAGAGTGCCGGGAAGCCAGTGCCCTATATGAGCTGATGGAGATGGAGATGGTGATAATTAGTATCCAGTGTAGCCAGTGCTAAATATGAGCTGCTAATAATAATAATAATAATCACCGCAATAACAACAATTATTGGCCTCTATAGCAGCAGAGTGCCGGGAAACCAATTGCTAGATATGAGCTGATGGTGGTGGTAATAATGATAATTGATATCCAGTGTTGCCAGTGCTAGATATGAACTGCTAATAATAATAATAATAATAATAATAATAATAATAATAATAATAATAATAATAATAATACAGCTGTATAAGGTAATAATAACAACAACAATTGGCCTCTATAGCAGAGTGCTGGGAAGCCAGAGCTAAATATGAGCTGCTAATAATAATAATAATGTTGTTGTTCATTTGTTCAGTCATCTCTGACTCTTCGTGACCTCGTGGACCAGCCCACGCCAGAGCTCCCTGTCGGCTGTCCCCACCCCCAGCTCCTTCAAGGTCAGTCCAGTCGCTTCAAGGATGCCATCCATCCATCTTGCCCTTGGTCGGCCCCTCTTCCTTTTGCCTTCCACTTTCCCCAGCATCATTCCCTTCTCTAGGCTTTCCTGTCTCCTCCTGATGTGGCCAAAGGACTTCAACTTTGTCTCTAGTCTCCTTCCCTCCAGTGAGCAGCCGGGCTTTTCCTGGAGGATGGACTGGTTGGATCTTCTCGCAGTCCAAGGCACTCTCAGAACTTTCCTCCAACACCACAGCTCAAAAGCATCGATCTTCCTTCGCTCAGCCTTCCCTAAGGTCCAGCTCTCACATCCGTAGGTGACTACAGGGAAGACCATGGCTTTGACTAGGCAATGGATCTTGGTTGCCAGTCTGATGTCTCTACTCTTCACTATTTTATCGAGACTGGACCTTGCTCTCCTCCCAAGAAGGAAGCGTCTTCTGATTTCCTGGCCACAGTCTGCATCTGCACTCATCTTCCCACCTAGAAATACAAACCCTGCCACGGCCTCCACGTTTTCTCCCTCTATTTCCCAGTTGTCAATCATTCTTGTTGCCATAATCTTGGTTTTTTTGACGTTTAGCTGCAACCCGGCTTTTGCGCTTTCTTCTTTCACCTTGATTAGAAGGCTCCTCAGCTCCTCCTCGCTTTCGGCCATCAGAGTGGTGTCATCTGCATATCTGAGGTTGTTAATGTTTCTTCCAGCAATTTTCACCCCAGCTTTGCATTCCTCAAGCCCCGCACATCCTCGCATGATGTGTTCTGCATACAAGTTAAAAAGGTTGGGTGAGAGGATGCAGCCTTGCCGGACGCCTTTCCCAATCTTGAACCCGTCTCCTGTTCCGTGGTCAGTTCTGACTGTTGCTACTTGGTCCTTGGACAGATTCCTCAGGAGAGAGGGAAGGGGGCTTGGGATGCCCATCCCACTAAGAACTTGCCACCATTTATGATGATCCACACAGTCAAAGGCTTTAGAAGAGTCAATGAAGCAGAAGTAGATGTTTTTCTGAAACTCCCTGCCTTTCTCCATTCTCCAGCATCCGGATATTGGCAATCTGGTCTCTGGTTCCTCTGCCTTTTCTAAACCCAGCTATAATAATAATAATAATAATAATAATAATAATAATCCTTTATATCTAACAGAATACAGTGGACTCAGTTCTGATACTAATAATCATAGGTATCCATAGCAGAATAGAGTGCAGCGTAAACCATGCTAGATATATAGCAGTGTGCAACGTAGCCAGTGCTAGATGTGAGCTACTATATTTTGCCATGAAGCACATGGCGGACTGGTGGGGGGAAAGGGCTTCCCTGGGGCCCACTCTTTCCCATTGGCGCTGCCTTTGTGTGCCAGGCGGCAGCTGTGGCGGCCATGCTGGATGGCGGGAGAGGCCTCCTCGCTCGTTAGCATGATGGAGAGCCCTGTCAGTGCGCCGCTTGTTGCATCCAGAGGGCCTGGAACCCGGTCTGAGTGATGGCAGGCTGCGCAGCTTGATTCGTGGCATGTGACGGCTACAACTCTTTGCCATTCTCTCTCTCTCTCTCTCTCTCTCTCCTGCAGCTCCAGAAGGGAAGCGCTCCTCGGGGCTGACGGCCGTCTGGGTGGCGCGCAACCGCTTTGCTGTCCTGGACCGCATGCATTCGGTAAGCAGATCTATCCTCAAAGTACATGCAGGCATCCAACTTAGAGACAAGTGGGGTGAAGTCTTTTGAGTGAGTGGGCCTTTTAACAAGAGACCCTCCCCATAAATGCACAGCAGAGTAACTTACCAGTAGTAGCATGACCCAGCATCAGGAGCCCAAATGTTCTCTTTTCCATCAGGGGATTTTTGTCAGTCTGTAGAATCTAAGTAGCAATATTAAATAACTACTCACAAGCCGGCTTGCTTTGAAATGGAGGTATTGCTTGTATCTCTGCAGCAATAATAATAATAATAATACTTTATTTATACCCCGCCACCATCTCCCCGAAGGGACTCGGGGTGGCTCATATGAGGCCAAGCCCGTCAAATACGATTACAACAATACATCAACATCAACAAAGCAAAACAAGCAAAATAAAAACAATATAAAAATATAACTGAACATATAAGCAATAACACACATTTAAGACACTATGGCAGGGTCAGATGTAATAGATTAAAATTTTAAAACACTGTGCGTGAACAGAGTAGGGTATGTCTAAACAAGGGGGTTGTAGAGAGTGGTGTAGGGAGATCAATCCAGCTGATAGATAAAGTGCTTCAGAGGACATATTGGTCAGGATGTTGATCAAATTGGGTATTATTTCCTTTATTCAGGGAAGACACACTGGAACAGCCACGTTTTCAGGCTCCTCCTAAAGACTGCCAAAGTGGGGCCCTGTCAGATATCTTTTGGGAGTGAATTCCAGAGTCGGGGGGCCACCATAGAGAAGGCCCTCTCCCTCGTCCCCAGCAATCGCACCTGCGAAGGGGCGAGAGCGAGAGCAGGACCTCTCCAGATGATCGAAGAGATTGCGTGGGTTCGTACACAGAAATGCGGTCACGCATGTAGGTGGGTCCCAAACCGTTCAGGGCTTTGTAGGTGAGAACCTGCACCTTGAATTGGGATGGGAAGATGAATGGCAGCCAGTGGAGCTCCTTAAACAGAAGGGTTGACCACTCCCTGTAAGGAGCACCAGGTAGTACCCTGGCTGCCGCCCGTTGGACCAATTGAAATTTCTGGGCCGTCTTCAAGGGCAGCCCCAGGTAGAGTGCATTGCAGTAGTCCAATCTGGAGGTGACTAAGGCATGGACCACCATGGCCAGATCTGACTTCACCACAGTCCTTGGTTCCACAAGAAGCCACGTTTGTCAAATTGTCCATTTCCAGGGACAGGAAGTGGGGTGAAGTCTTTTGGGTGAGTGGGCTTTTAAACAAAAGACCCTCCTCGTAAACGCACAGCAGAGTAACTTATCAGCAGCAGCATGACCCAGCATCAGGAGCCCAAAGTGATGGAAAGAACAAAAGCACAGAGACCAATGTTCTCTCTTTCATTGGAGGATCTATGTAGCAATATTAAATAACTACTCACAAGCCAGTTTTGCTTGGAAATGGATATATTGCTTTTATCTCTGCAGCAAATATACTACGGACTTTTCCCCACCACCACTTCCTTTTAGACACCCTTCCTGCCCATCTCCCCCTCTTCTCCGTTTCCTATGCTTCACCAGTTCTATAACATGGTCTCCAGTGCCCTCTCCTGGCTTCAGAATATCACAGAGAGAATTGATTCAGTCAGGATGTCAGGGAGGATATTTGTGATGTCTTCATGTTGTCACAAATTGACTCCTGACACTTTCTTTGTAGTAAGATAATATAGTTGCACTATTTACAAGAACAAGGTTTTCATAACACAACTGAAGTTCACCTTCTCACTGGGAGAAAGGCCTCAGAGTGTGAGGTAGGCCTCAGAATGAGAAGGCCTCACATGTGTGAAGACACATGAGGCATTCTCATACCGAGGCCTACCTCACACTCTAAAGCCTTTCTCCCACAGGGAGGCAGTGACACCAATAAATAACACTATTAAAGTTCACCTTCTCACTGGGAGAAAGGCCTCAGAGTGTGAGGTGGGCCTCAGAATGAGAAGGCCTCATGTGTGAAGACACTCTGAGGCCTTTCTCCCACAGGGAAGCCTACTACCACTGAGTCAGTAACAAAAATAAATAACACAAATAAAGTTCACCTTCTCACTGGGAGAAAGGCCTCAAAGTGTGAGGTAGGCCTCAGAATGAGAAGGCCTCATATGTAAGGCCTTCTCATACCGAGGCTTACCTCGCACTGAGGCCTTTCTCCCACAGGGAGGCCTACTACCACTGAGGCAGTGACACCAATAAATAACACTATTAAAGTTCTCCTTCTCACTGGGAGAAAGGCCTCAGAGGGTGAGGTGGGTCTCAGAATGAGAAGGCCTCATGTGTAAAGACCTCACATTCTGAGGCCTTTCTCTCACAGGGAGGCCTACTACCACTTAGTAACACAAATAAATGACACAAATAAAGTTCACCTTTTCACCGGGAGAAAGGCCTCGTTTGTGAGGTAGGCCTCAGAATGAGAAGGCTTCATTTGTGAAAACACATTAGGCCTTCTCATACCAAGGCCTACCTCACATTCTGAGGCCTTTCATCCACAAGGAGGGCTACTACCACTGAGGCAGTAACGCAAAGAAATAACACAAATAAATTTCACTTTCTCACTGGGAGAAAGGCCTCAGAGTGTGAGGTAGGCCTCAGAATGAGAAGGTCTCACGTGCAAGGTGGGATGCACCTCAAGGAGGGAGTGGATTGAACAAGGGAAGCCACAGCGAGAGAGAGGTAGAAGGTCCTGAGCCAGGAAGGAGCCCCCTCCTCCTCCAGATCCGGATCTGATGCTCATGGTCTTGAGACTGAGGTCCTCTCCTGGGGCGGCCATGTTGGGTTCTCATCCCGCTTTCTCCATTTGGCAGATCCTGATCAAGAACCTGAAGAACGAGATCACCAAGAAGGTGCAGGTGCCCAACTGCGACGAGATCTTCTACGCCGGGACCGGGAACCTCCTCCTGCGCGACGCCGACTCCATCACCCTCTTTGACGTCCAGCAGAAGCGGTGAGGAAGAGAGGGAGGGAGCCAGGATTGCTCTTCGCTTCCTCCTCCTCCTCCTCCTCTCTCTTTTTCCTTCTTTTCTTTCTCCTCTTTTCATTGGAAGGAAGGGGAAAGGAACCAGGCTTGCTTTTCTCCTTCTCCTCCTTCTCCTTCTTTCTTTCTTCTCATCCTCCTCTTTCTCCTTCTTCTCCTCCTCCTTCGCATCCTCCTTCTCCTTCGTCTTTTCTTTCTTATCATCCTTTTCATCCTTCTCTTTCTCCTTCTCCTTATTCTTATTCTTCTTTTCTTCTCCTTCTCCTTTTCTTCTCTTCCTTCTCATCCTATTTCTCACCCTCCTTATTCTTATCCTTCTTTTCTTCTTGTCCTCCTTTTCTTTCTTCTTGTGCTTCTTCTCATTTTCTTTCTTCTTGCCATCCTTTTTCTCATCCTCCTCCTCCTTATTCTTATCCTTTTTTTTCTTCTCATCCTTCTGTTTCTCATCCTTCTTTCTTCTCATTCTTCTTTCTCCTTCTCATCCTCCTCCTCTTCTCGTTTTTTTTTATTTCTCATCCTTTTATCCTTATTCGTATCCTTCTTTTCTTTCTTCTCACCCTTCTCTTTCTCATCCTCCTCCTTCTCATCGTTTCTTCTCGTCCTTCTCTTTTTAATCTTCCTCCTTCTTCTCATCCTTCTCCTTTCCTTTCTTCTCATTCTTTTCTTTCTCATCCTCCTCCTCCTTATTCGTATCCTTCTCCTTTTCTTTCTTCTTGTCCCTCTCATCCTTCTCTTTCTCATCCTCCTCCTCCTTCTTTCTTCTCAACCTCCTCATTCTTTTCTTTCTCCTTCTCCTTTTCTTTCCTTTTGTTCTTTTCTTTCTCATCCTTATTCTCATCCTTCTTTTCTTTCTTCTCGTCCTTCTCATCCTTCTCTTTCTCATCCTTCTCCTTTTTCTTTTTGTTCTTTTCTTTCTCACCTTCCTCCTCCTTATTCTCATCCTTCTTCTTTTTTTTCTTCTTGTCCTTCTCATCCTTCTCTTTCTCCTCCTCCTCCTTGTCCCTCTTCTCCTTCCTTTCATCTCCTTTTTATTTTTTCTTCTCTTCTTTCTCCTCTTTTCCTTCTCCTTCTCATCCTTCTCCTTCTTTTCCTCCTCCTCCTCCTATTATTATTATTATTATTATTATTCATAACAATATTGGTATTATTACTTTCCTCCCGGAGACACTTGAGCTCAGCGATCAAGGCTGAAAGGTGGCCGCCTTCCTTCCTTCCTTCCTTCCTTTCTTCTTTCTTCTTCCTTCCTTCCTTCCTTCTCACGCCAATGCCTCCCCTCAGGACGCTGGCCTCGGTCAAGATCTCCAAGGTGAAGTACGTCATCTGGTCGGCGGACATGTCCCACGTGGCCCTCCTGGCCAAGCACGGTAAGCCCTCCCGAGGGGGAGAAGAGCTCCTTCCTTCCTTTGGGGAAGAACACCATCTGGGGCATTCCCTCCTCCTCCTCCTCCTCCTCCTCCTCCTGCCTTCCTCGGGGGGCTGCCTGCCAGGGGGTCACAGCACTCTCCCTCTTCTTCCCTCCGCCCGGCAGCCATCATGATCTGCAACCGGAAGCTGGAGTCGCTCTGCAACATCCACGAAAACATCCGGGTCAAGAGCGGCGCCTGGGACGAGAGCGGCGTCTTCATCTACACCACCAGCAACCACATCAAGTACGCCGTCACCACCGGGTAAGCAGACCCTCCGCCTGATCTCTCCCCACAGATGCCCATACCGCCTCTCACTATCATCATTATTATTACTATTTTGGGTACCCAGCATGGCCCAAGGACCAATTCATAATAAGGTTGTGGGTGAACTGCAACTCCCACCATGCCAGGTGAACCCCGAGAAACTCTTTATCAGTACTTAAGAGTTGGTTCCTCTTGGGCAAGTTTGCTCTAGATCCGTGGTTCTCAGCCTGGGGAACCCCCCGATGTTTTGGCCTTCAGATCCCAGAAATCCTAACAGTTCTAGGCACTTGGGAAGAGGCCGACGTGTGAGCCAAACAGAGGGATCTTGTTTGCGGTGGACTCCTCTTGCTGCATTTCGAATAATAATAATAATAATAATAATAATAATAATAATAATAGACAGAAGATCTTGGAGACAAAGCAGGAAATAATAGTAGTAGTAAATAATAATAATAATAAAAATAATAATAATAATAATAAAGACAAGATCTTGGAGACAAAGCAGGAAATAATAGTAGTAGTAAATAATAATAATAATAATAATAATAATAATAATAATAATAATAATAATAATAATAATAATAATAATAGACAGAAGATCTTGGAGAAAAAGCAGGAAATAATAGTAGTAGTAAATAATAATAATAATAATAATAATAATAATAATAATAATAATAATAAAAAAGACAGAAGWTCTTGGAGACAAAGCAGGAAATAATAGTAGTAGTAAATAATAATAATAATAATAATAATAATAATAATAATAAAAAAGACAGAAGATCTTGGAGACAAAGCAGGAAATAATAGTAGTAGTAAATAATAATAATAATAATAATAATAATAATAATAATAGTAATAATAATAAGATAATAAATAATAAGAATAATATAATAATAAGATAAAAGATCTTGGAGACCCAGGTAAAGCAGGAAATAATAACAGTAGTAGTAAATAATAATAATAATGATGATGATGATGATGATGATTGTGAAGACCAGGGTGAAGCAGATAATAATAGTAACAATAATAATATAATAGTAATAATAGTAATAAGATGATGATAACAACAACAATAATAATAATAATAAGATAGAAGATCTTGGCGACCAGGGTAAAGCAGGAAATAATAACAGTAGTAATAAAAAATAATTACAACAGTAATAATAGATTGTGAAGACCAGGGTGAAGCAGATAATAATGATGATGATGATGATTATGATAATGTTAATAATAATAATAGTAAGATAGAAGATCTTAGAGATCAGGGTACAGCAGGAAATAATAACAGTAGTAGTAATTAATAATAATAATAGTAAAAATAATATTATACTAGTAATATAGAGGTACGATCAGCCTCTTCACTGATGGTGTTTAGGAAGAGACTAAAAACATGGCTGTTCAAACTAGCATTCGGCTAATCTGTGGCAATCGATCGATTCTTGGTGACTATGGACAGAAAATATGGACAACGATCTCTGGACTGTGATTTCAACTCGAGACATATGGGATTATTATTGGTGGCCCAATAATTTGTTGTTGTATGTGTATATGTTTTAAATTGGAGACTGTTTTTAATCTGCTGTAAACCGCAATTGAGTCGCCGATCCAGGCTGAGAAATTAGCGGTATACAAGTGTACCAAATAAATAAATAAATAATATAATATAATAATGAAGACAGAAGATCTTAGAGATCAGAGTAAAGCAGGAAATAATAACAGTAGTAGTAATAAATAATTACAGTAATAATAATAACAATAATAATAATATTATACTAGTAATAATAATATAATAATGAAGATAGAAGATCTTAGAGATCAGAGTAAAGCAGGAAATAATAACAGTAGTAGTAATAAATAATTACAGTAATAATAATAATAACAATAATAATAATAATAATATTATAATAATAAGATAGAAGATCTTGGAGACCAGGGTAAAGCAGGCAATAATAACAGTAATAATAATAATAATAATAATAATAATAATAATAATAATAATAATAGATTGTGAAGACCAGGTGAAGCAGATAATAATAATTATTATTAGTATAGTAGTAGTAATAATAATAATAATACTCTTAAGAGTTGGAAGAGACCTCAAGGGCCACTCAGTCTCTGCTTAGTAGTACTAGTAGTAGTAGTAGTAGTAGTAGTAATAATAACAGTGTTGCCTTTGGGCTTGTCTAAAAGGGACCACGGGATCATCCGCACGCTGGACCTGCCCATCTACGTGACGCGGGTGAAGGGCAACAACGTCTACTGCCTGGACCGGGAGTGCCGCCCCCGCGTCCTCACCATCGACCCCACCGAGTTCAAGTTCAAGCTCGCCCTCATCAACCGCAAGTACGATGAGGTAAACGCACGGCCGCGGGAATGAAGTCGCGCAAGTGCAGGCCCATCCCCAGGGAACCTCGCGTTGAAACTCTTTGGGAGACCCCCCCCCCCCCAAAAAAAAAGAGGCCTGTTGATTATGTGATTGCTTGCTTGTTCACGCAGGTGCTGCACATGGTGCGCAACGCCAAGCTGGTGGGGCAGTCCATCATTGCCTACCTGCAGAAGAAGGGCTACCCAGAGGTGGCGCTCCACTTCGTGAAGGACGAGAAGACGCGCTTCAGCCTGGCCCTCGAGTGCGGGAACATCGAGGTGAGCCAGGACGGGCGTGGGGTGGGGCCGGGGGACCTCGGGGGGGGGGCCTTCCTGCTTCAGCGTGGTTTCTGGGAAATGCACACCTGTGTGAATTTCACAGGAAATTATTATTATTATTATTATTATTATTATTATTATTATTAAGCAGAGGCTGCATGGGCATCTGTTGGGAGGGCTTAAATGGTGCCTGGCAGATATGGAGTTGGACTGGATGGCCTTCAACTCTGGGATCCTATTATTATGATTATTAGTCAGCAGAGGCTGCATGACCATCTGTCAGGAGGGATCAGATGGTGTCTTCTTGCATATTAGGGGGTCTCTTCCAACCCTAGAATATTATTATTATTATTATTAAGCAGAGGTTGGAAGACCATCTGTTGGGAGGGATCAGATAGTGCCTTCCTGCATAGCGGGGGGTCTCTTCCATCTCTAGGATTCTATTATTATTATTATTATTATTATTATGTAGAGGCTGCATGGCTGTCTTTTGGGAGGGATTGGATGGTGCGGAATAAGTTTGGACTAGATGGCCCTTGGAGTCACTTCCAACCCTATCCTATTATTATTATTATTATTATTATTAAGCAGAGGCTGGATGGCCATCTGTCGGGAGGGCTTAGATGGTGCCTCCCTTTACGGCAGAAATAGGGTTGGACTGGATGGCCTTCAGGGGTCTCTTCCAACTCTGGGATCCTATTATTATTATTATTACTATTATTATTATTATCAGGCAGAAGCTGGATGGCCATCTGTCAGGAGGGCTTAGATGGTGCTTCCCTTTATGGCAGAAATGGGTTTGGACTGGATGACCTTCAGGGGTCTCTTCCAACTCTGGGATCCTATTATTATTATTATTATTATTATTACTATTATTATTATTATTATTATTATCAGGCAGAAGCGGGATGGCCATCTGTCGGGAGGGCTTAGATGGTGTCTCCCTTTATGCCAGAAATGGGGTTGGACTGGATGGCCTTCCAACTCTGGGATCTTATTATTATTATTGTTATTATTATTGTTATTATTATTAATAATACTACTACTACTATTATTATTATTATCAAACAGAAGCTGGATGGCCATCTGTTGGGAGGGCTTAGATGGTGTCTCCCTTTACGGCAGAAATGGGGATGGCCTTCAGGGGCCTCTTCCAACTATAGGATCCAATAATAATAATAATAATAATAATAATAATAATAATAATAACTATTATTGCTATTATTATTATTATTATTGCTATTATTATTATTATTATTAAGCCAGAGGCTGGACGGAAGGGATGGGATGGTGTCTTTCCAAGCTGGGGTTGGACTGGATGGCCATCTGTGGGGAGGGCTTTTCAGTCTGTGCCTGTCCCTTCCCAGATTGCGCTGGAGGCGGCGAAGGCGCTGGACGACAAGGGCTGCTGGGAGAAGCTGGGGGAGGTGGCGCTGCTGCAGGGCAACCACCAGATCGTGGAGATGTGCTACCAGCGCACCAAGAACTTTGACCGGCTCTCCTTCCTCTACCTCATCACCGGGAACCTGGAGAAGCTGCGCAAGATGATGAAGATCGGTGCGCCAGGGGTCCCTCCCCGCCCCCACCCCCCCGCCCCTCTCGGCACTGCGCCCCTTGCGCCCCCCCCCCCCCGTGCTTGACCCTCCCCTCTTTCTCTCCAGCCGAAATCCGGAAGGACATGAGCGGCCATTACCAGAACGCCTTGTACCTGGGGGACGTGGCCGAGCGCGTGCGCATCCTCAAGAACTGCGGGCAGAGTGAGTCACTCCCCATTCCTCTGGGATTTGCAAGGCCCCCACCACAGATATCCCAGTGTTACTGTCTCTCTCCATTCCTGTGGGATTTGCAAGGCCCCCACCACAGACATCCCAGTGTTACTGTCTCTCTCCATTCCTGTGGGATTTGCAAGGCCCCCACCACAGACATCCCAGTGTTTCTGACTCTCTCCATTCCTGTGGGATTTGCAAGGCCCCCACCACAGACATCCCAGTGTTACTGTCTCTCTCCATTCCTGTGGGATTTGCAAGGCCCCCATTGTTGATATTATTATTATTATTATTATTATTATTATTATTATTAAGCAGAGGTTGGAGGGCCATCTGTTCGGAGGGGTCAGATAGTGCCTTCCTGCATAGCAGGGGGTCTCTTCCATCTCTAGGATTCTATTATTATTATTATTATTATTATTATTATTATTATCAGACATCCCAGTGTTTTTTACTCTCTCCATTCGTGTGGGATTTGCAAGACCCCACCACAGACATCCCAGTGTTTTTGACTCTCTCTCTCCAGTGGTGTGGAATTTGCATGACCCCGCCCTCTGCTTTTCCTTCAACCCTTTCCTCCACCACGGACATCCCAGCGTTTCTTACTCTTCATTGGTGTGGGATTTGCATGATCCCACCCACTGCCTCTCCCTTAACCCTTTCCTCCACCATGGACACCCCAGTGTTTATTATTCTCTCAATTGGTGTGGAATTTGCATGATCCCGCCCACTGCCTCTCCCTTAACCCTGTCCTCCACCGCGGACATCCCAGTGTTCCTTTTTCCATTGTGTGGAATTTGCATGTCTCCGCCCACTCCCTCTCCCTTAACCCTGTCCTCCACCGCGGACATCCCAATGTTTATTATTCTCTCCATTGGTGTGGAATTTGCATGACCCTGCCTACTGCCTTTCCCTTAACCCTTTCCTCCACCACAGAGACATCCCAGTGTTCCTTTCTCTCTCCATTGCATTTCGTGAAATTAAAAAATGACTTTTTCAAGTAACCCGGGCAACACTGTAGTAAATAAACAATACTCATTGGTCAGATTACAGATTAAGTTGTGTTGTTTTACTGTATTGCTATTATTATTATTATTATTATTATTATTATTATTATTATTATTATTATTATTGGGATCCTCAAAAACTGTGAACAGAGTGAGTGACATGGTGGTAGTAGTAGTAGTAGTAGTGGTAGTGTAGGTTGTCTCCGTTTGCATTTCCTCCAGGCCTAACCTTTCCCCCTTTTCCTTCCCTTGCTCCTCTCTCTCTCTCTCTCTCTCCGCAGAGTCCTTGGCCTTCCTCACGGCTGCCACTCACGGCCTGGAAGAGGAAGCCCAGACCCTCAAGGAGACCTTTGACCCGGAAAAGGAAGCGGTAGGTGTCGCGTGGGTGGAGACGAGAGGAAAACACACAAAACAACACCCCTGAGATAGAGGGAGGCACATGAATTCAGTTCTATCATGGCCTCCTCCTCCTTATCCAGCCGCTCAGTGGGATGGACTATCTCATAGGCAGTGCAGTTAGTTCTGATCTCCAAAACACTGCAGAGTCTTGGTCAGAGTTAGCAGAGATTTCATCTCCCAGCCTCTGACTTTGAATACGCACACTTGAGCTCTGGTTCCCATCCATATTCCTTCAGAGGTTGAGTCTTCAGTTGTTGCAACATGCAATTATTTACAGGTCTGCAGTTGGCAGAGAACAAGCACGCTGCAGAGTCTTGGTCAGAGTTAGCAGAGATTTCATCTCCCAGCCTCTGACCTGGAATAAGCACACTTGAGCTCTGGCTTCCACCCAAACTCCTTTGAAGGTTGATTCTTCAGCCGTTGCTACATACAACTATTTACAGGTTTGTAGATGTCAAAGAGCAGGCACACTGCAGAGTCTTGGTTACAGTTGGACAGAGATTTCATCTCCCAGCCTCTGACCTGGAATAAGCACACTTGAGCTCTGGCTTCCATCCAAATTCCTTTGGAGGTTGAGTCTTCAGTGGTTGCAACTGCTGCGTCCCAGATCAGGAAACGAGACCATAAGATTAAATCCACCACACTGGACTGTGGGGAAAAAACAATCCTTTTTATTGATGAAAAATGGTTACAAAAGAAAGGTAAATGCAAAGTCAAAAAGCCTCAGTAGAAACTCAGGAGTCAGGAAAATCTCTGAACTAGAGCAAAATTCCAAAAGCCACAATACAAAAACCTGGAACCTGTTAGCATCTCACTAACCGTACTTGAAAACTAGAAGCCTCTGGGAATGCAGGCCATGGAACACGGGAAATCTGCCAAGGTATTGCCTCAGTCTAAACGGTGCTTGATCTAACGAGACAGCCCGGGGAGAGGCCCCTTATACTAAAGAAACTGTTTCTTGACACGCCTCCAGGCTTTGAAGCCTGAGCCTCCCTTTCCCTTAATCTACTTGACCTTTGCAGACCCTGCAATTCACTCCTGCTTTTCCAAATCTGTTCTCTTCGATCCTCATTAAAAAACCCAGGTGTGAGTTCCTCTGGAGAGCTATCACTGCTTGGTTCCAAAACATTCTCATCAGGATGTGTAGTTTCACTTTCCCCGCCACTGACCTCAGAATCAACAGTTTCAACACCATCAGGGAAAGATATATGTTCAGAGGCCTGTTCAGTTGCATCAGGAAATACAATCAGAGAATCAGGCTCAGGTTCACACAGAGATTGAGGCTCAGGGTCACACGGAGGCTGAACCCCAACAGCAACATACAACTATTTACAGGTCTGCTGTTGGCAGAGAGCAAGCACGCTGCAGAGTCTTGGTTACAGTTAGCAAGAGATTTCATACTATTGATAGGTCTGCTATCGGTGTACAGAGATAGACACGATCATAGCAAGGTACTCACACGACGAGGATAGTGATGGATTATGGATGCAGAGAGATCATGGCACAGAGTCAAAGATGACAGAGAGGAAGCACATGGCAAAGAGGAAACACTGCAGAGTCTTGGTCAGAGTTTGCAGAGATTTCCTATCCCAGCCTCTGCCCTTAAATAAGCCCACTTGAGCTCTGGTTCCCACCCATATTCCTTTAGAGCAGGGGTAGGGAACCTTTGGCCCTCCAGCTGTGGTGGACTTCAACTCCCACAATTCCTTGAGGCTCGGCATTGGGCCAAGGTAAGCCTTTGGGGCGAATGCCGAGCCTCAAGGAATTGTGGGAGTTGAAGTCCACCACAGCTGGAGGGCCAAAGGTTCCCTACCCCTGCTTTAGAGGTTGAGTCTTCAGCCGTTGCTACATACAACTATTTACAGGTCTGCAGATGGCAGAGAGCAAGCACATGGCAAAGAGGAAACTGCAGAGTCTTGGTCAGAGTTAGCAGAGATTTCATCTCCCAGCCTCTGACCTGGAATAAGGTCTAATTCCATCCAGATTCCTTTGGAGATTGATTCTTCCGCTGTTGCTACAAATAACTACAGGTCTGCAGATGGCAGAGAGCAAGCACGCTGCAGAGTCTTGGTCACAGTTAGCAAGAGATTTCATGCTATTGATATGTCTGCTATTGGTGTACAGAGATAGACACGACTATAGCAAGGCAACCACACAATGAGGATAGTGATGGATTACGGATGCAGAGAGATCATGGCAAAGAATCAAAGATGGCAGAGAGCAAGCACATGGCAAAGAGGAAATGCTGCAGAGTCTTGGTTAGTTAGCAGAGATTTCCTATCCCAGCCTCTGCCCTTGAATAAGCACACTTGAGCTCTGACCACATGGCAATGAGGAAACTGCAGATTCTTGGTCAGAGTTAGCAGAGATTTCCTATCCCAGCCTCTGTCCTTAAATAAGCCCACTTGAGCTCTGGCCACATTGGAAACACTGCAGAGTCTTAGTCACAGTTATCAGAGATTTCATCCCAGCCTTTGACTTTGAATAGGCACACTTGAGGTCTGGCTTCCATCCAGACTCTTTTGGAGGTTTATTCTCCAGTAGTTGCTACATGCAACTCTTTACAGGTCTGCTATCAGTATATAGAGATACTCGCAATCATAGCAAGACATTCACATGACAGGGATGGCGATGGAGTATAGATGCCCAGAGTCAAAGATGTCAGAGAGCAAGCGCATGGCAAAGAGGAAGTGCACACACATCTCTGCTTTCTTGACCCCTCAGTGGACTGGGTTGTGAACACATGTCCACAAGAACTGTATTTTTCCATGCATTCCTATCTAATACAGTGTATTTCTCCCTGGTGCTTTGGCCTCCTTCCTCTTTGCTTTGAGTGAACTCCCGAAAGCAAACCTTTTGAGGGCAGATGGCCCAGTGTTGAGTCTCCCTTCCTCCTCTTTGCAGATCCCGGAGATCGACCCCGAGGCTCGCCTGCTCCAGCCGCCGGCCCCCATCATGCCGCTGGACACCAACTGGCCCCTGCTGACCGTCTCCAAGGGCTTCTTCGAGGGCACCATCGCCAGCAAAGGTGTGCAGCTGTGACAGGGGTTCGGTTCAGTGTTTGGGGTCATTGGATCCACTTCCTGTGTGGGGAAAGAGGGCCAAGCGTGCGGGAAAGGCCCTCAAAGCACTTTTTTTGGGAGGCAACAAGTGGGACCCCTCCACTTGGGCCTTGCGCTTGCAGATTGTCCTGGACAGTCGGTCTTTGAGCCGAGCTTCCCTCCCTTCCGTTCATTGTTTCTTTCAGTGTTTATGTTCATTTTCAACAACTGTGAGGTTGTTAGCCACCTTGATGCCCTATTATTAATTATCATAATATTTATTATTATCAATGCATATAATAACGGATTCAGTATTAATACATTTAATGATTTAATAATACATTCAATTTTAATATGTTTAATAATATTTGTTATTAATAATCATAATAAATTTAATAGTCACATTTAATATCAATACATATAATAACACGTGAATTTAGTACTAATACATTTAATAATAATTTAATAATACATTTAATATTCATGAATTTAATAATAATAATACAGTAATAATAATGTTATTAATAAATTTAATTGTCACACATTTAATATTAATGAATATAATAATAATAATAATAATAATATTAATTTGTCACACATTTAATATTAATGAATATAATAATATTAATTTAATTGTCACACATTTAATATCAATACATATAATAACGTGAATTTAGTACTAATACATTTAATAATTAATAATACATTTAATATTCATGAATTTAATAATAATAATACAGTAATAATAATGTTATTAATAAATTTAATTGTCACACATTTAATATTAATGAATATAATAATAATAATAATATTAATTTAATTGTCACACATTTAATATTAATACATATAATAACATGTGAATTTAGTACTAATACATTTAATAATAATTTAATAATACATTTAATATTCATGAATTTAATAATAATAATACAGTAATAATAATGTTATTAATAAATTTAATTGTCACACATTTAATATTAATGAATATAATAATAATATTAATTTAATTGTCACACATTTAATATTAATGAATATAATAATAATATTAATTTAATTGTCACACATTTAATATCAATACATATAATAACACATGTACTTAGTATTAATACATTTAATAATAATAATACATTTAATATTAATATGTATAATAATATATTAATAATCATAATAATAAAAATTAATAGTCACACATTTATTTAATATCAATGCATATAATAACACATGGATTTAGTACTAATACATTTAATAGTACATTTAATATTAATCATATATATTATTAGTCATAATAATAAATTTGATAGTCACACATTTGATACCAATACATATAACACATGTATTTAGTATTAATGCACTTTAATATTAATACATTTAATAATAATAATACAAATTTAATATTTACCTTGTAAAGCAATTCTTTTGTTATTGAACCCCAGCTTATTGCACAACAATCAAACAGATTCACTAAGATGCACAGGCATTAAAATAACAAAGGTGGGATATCAATATAATAATAATAATAATAATAATAATAATAATTTTTGCAGGCAAAGGAGGAGCCTTGGCCGCAGACATTGACATCGACACTGTGGGCACCGAAGGCTGGGGAGAAGACGCCGAGCTGCAGCTGGACGAAGGTAGCCATGCGCAATTAGCCATTCCCAATTAGCAGTCTTCGTTACTTGTATCCCACAGGGGGTTGGACTGGATGGCCTTTAGGGATCTCTTCCAACCATCTCTCTTTCTCTCTCACTATCATATCTATGGCCATCTGTCTATGGCTGGGTGGCCATCTGTCGGGAGGGATCAGACAGTGTCTATCCTTCCTGGCAAAAAGAAGGGGGTTGGGCGGGATGGCCGTATCTATCTATCTATCTATCTATCTATCTATCTATCTATCTATCTATCTATCTGTCCGCCCAGCAATGTATCTATCCGTCTATCTATCTATCTATTTGCTCATCTGTCTGTCTGTCTGTCTATCTGTCTATCCATCCATCCACCCACCCACCTATCTATCCATCCATCCATCCATCTTTCTATCCATCCATCCACCTATCTATCCATCCATCCACCTATCTATCCATCCATCCACCTATCTATCCATCCATCCACCTATCTATCCATCCATCCACCTATCTATCCATCCATCCACCTATCTATCCATCCATCCATCCATCCATCCATCCATCCTTCTATCCGTCCATCCATCTATCCATCCATCTTAATCCATCCATCCATCCATCCACCTATCTATCCATCCATCCATCTTTCTATCCGTCCATCCATCCATCTTTCAATCCATCTATCCATCCATCTTTCTATCCATCCATCTTTCTATCCATCCATCCATCCATCCATCCATCCATCTATCCATCCATCTTTCTATCCATCCAGCCATCTTTCTATCCATCCATCCATCCATCCATCCATCTTTCTATCCATCCATCCATCCATCTTTCTATCCATCCATCCATCTATCTATCTACCCAGCAATATATCCATCTGCCATACCTTTCTATCATTCAATCATTCTATCTTTATTTCTATCTATCTATCTATCTATCTATCTATCTATCTATCTATCTATCAGTTTATCTGCCTGTCTCCTAGAAGGTTGGACTGGATGGCCTTTGGGGGTCCGGTTCCAACTCTGGGCTCCTCTCCCGGCCTTTGTGGGAAGAGGGGAGCGCTGTCCCTGCCCCTGAGCGGTGTGTCTGACCCCCTTGCAGATGGCTTTGTGGACGCCGGAGAAGGTTTTGGCGAAGAGGCCTCGGCGGGGAAAGGCCCCGAGGAAGGGGGCGGCTGGGAGGTGGAGGAGGACCTGGACCTGCCCCCCGAACTGGTAAGGCCCCCCACGGGAGGGAGGGCAGGAGGGCGGGTGGGAGGGCTGCTCCCCCTTCTCTGGGCTCACGACAGCCCTGCAGTGCTGCTCCCCCTTCCTGACCTCCTCTCCTTGTGTTCTTCCAGGACGCGGGCACCGGTCCCGCCGGGGAGGCCGAGGACGGCTTCTTTGTGCCCCCCACCAAAGGCACCAGCCTTGCCCAGGTAAGGGGGGGGGGAGAAGCAGCCAATAGGATCAATCTTATTGTGATTGTTGCACGACGTACAGTGGGATTAAATTAAATTCATTAGAGATGTACAATTACAACCCCCCCCCCCCATCCCTCTTGCACAAGCCCTTGTGTCAATGTCTTGGGGAAAGGTCACAGAGGTGGGTGAGGGGATCCCCAGGTAGGGGATCGAGAAAGACACAAGGGAAGAGTGAGAGAGAGAGAGAAATCTATTGGTAGGTGGGTGGAGAGAGAGAGAAAGAAATGTATTGGTGAATGGATGGGTGGATCAAATGAAGGAAGGATGGGTGGAAGGATGGATGGATGTGTGGATGGAAGGAAGGATGGGAGGAAAGAAGGATGGATGGGTAAAAGGAAGGAAGGAAGGAAGGATGGGTAAAAAGGAAGGAAGGATGGATTGCAGGCCAGACGGACAGGTGGCTGGTTCGACAGGAATCACGGGTTGGATGGACAGGAAGGCTGAATGCAGGACCATGGCTGGATAGCAGGAGAGGACCGTCCGGCCTGCATGAGGCCGGCAAGTCAGACCTGCACAGGGTGGCTGGAAGGAAGGCAGGAAGGCTGGAGGAAGCACGGAGGAATGAAGGAGGCCCGGCTGGACGTAAGGACGGAAGGTATGGGAGGAAAACGACTGCTGGATGGGTACCCGGCAGGAAGCCGGTGGGTCCCCGTACGGCGCGGCTGGATGTAAGGAAGGAACGGCAATGGTGGCTGTTTTATAAGGAGACCATGTTGGTGGAAGGAAGGATGGAATGAAGGAACCACTGGATGGATCGAAGGCGGAAGACTGGAAGTAAGTCTCGGCCAGGAAGAGAACAGTCCTTCTTCTCCACTCTTTTTCCTTCCTTCCTTCCTTCTTTCCTGCCTTCTTCCTTTCCTCCTCTTCCTTCCTTCCTTCCTCCTTCTTTCCTTCCTTCTTTTCCTCTCCTTCTTTCCTTCCTTCCTTCTTCTTCCTTCCTTCCTTCCTTTTTTTCTTTCCTTCCCCTTCCTTCCTTCTCTTCCTCCTTCCTTCCTTCTTTCCTTCCTTCCTTCCTTCCTTCTTTTCCTTCCTTTCCCTTCCTTCTTTCCTTCCTTCCTTCCTTCTTTCCTTCCTTCCTTCCTTCTTTCCTTCCTTCTTTCCTTCCTTCCTTCCTCTCCTTCTTCTTCTTTCTTCCTTCCTGCCTTCTTTCCTTCCGTCCGTCCTTCCTTCCTTTTTCTTTCCTTCCTTCTTGCCTTCCTTCTTTCTTCCTTCTGTCAGGCCGTGCGGGCCGTCCGGCCCGCCTCCTGCCCCTGTGCTGGCTCGCCTTCCGGCCTGCGCCTGCCTGCCTTCGGCCTTCCTTCCTGTTGTGTTCTTTCCTCCCTTCTTCCTGCCTTCCTTCCCGTTTAGGGGCGGGGCGGCCCTTCCACTCTTCCTTCACTTTTGTCTTTCCTGCCTTCCTTCCTGATGGATCAATCAAAGGAAGGAAGGATGGATGGATGGGTGGGTGAAAGGATGGATGGATGGAAGGATGGATGAATAGATGGATGGATGGAGAAGTTGATTGGTGAATAAATTGAAGGAAAGAAGGATGGGTGGATTCATGGATAGAAGGAAGGGTGAGTGGATGGATGGATGGATCAAAGGACAGAAGGATGGGTGGAAGGAAAGGTGGATGGATGGATGGAAAGAAGGAAGGATGGATGGATGGATGGATGGAAGGAAAGAAGGAAGGGTGGATGGATGGAAGGAAGGGTGGATGGATGGATGGAGAAATTGATTGGGGAATAAATGGAAGAAAAGAAGGATGGATGGATGCATGGATAGAAGGAAGGGTGAGTGGATGGATGGATGGATGGATAGATAGATAGATAGATAGATAGATAGGATTGGTAGGTAGGTAGGTAGGTAGGTAGGTAAATAGGTAGAGAAAGACACCAGTGAATAGATAGGTGTATTGGTGGATGGATGGATGGAGAGGTGGATCAATAGATGATAGAGGAAGACAAAGAAAGAAATGAACAGGTAAGTAGGGAGGTAGAAAGTGAAAGAGAGAATAGAGTAGAATAAAGCTATTGTCATTGTACGTTGTACAACAGCATCAAATGCCACCCCCAGTGCCCATTATATATACATATGTAGAATTACAAGAGCAAAGCTGCGCCGGAATATAAATACTGTAAATAATAAATAATAAATAAATCAAACACTCCCCCTTTGGCTTGGGCTCAGCCTCCGGTGCCATGTTGTTGTTTTTGCAAGGCCTCCATCCTCCTCTTCTCTTTCCCTTCCTCCTCCTCCTCCTCCTCCTCCTCCTCCAGGTCTGGTGCAACAACTCCCAGCTGCCCGTGGACCACATCCTGGCTGGCTCCTTCGAGACCGCCATGCGGGTGAGTCGGCCATGCGGGGACACGAGGAAAGCCAGGCAGCAGTGGGAGGCGGCCGCAAAAAAGGCCAATACCAGCATATTTTGTACTATTAGTATTATATAATATCTTGTATTATATCAATAGCAGATTCAATGGTGTCTTCCTTTATGGTAGGAGGGGTCTTTGGGGTCTCTTCCAGCTCTAGGATCCTGTTGTTGTTGTTGTTGTTGTTGTTGTTATGACAGTATATTGTTGTTGTTGTTATTATATGACAGTATATGATATCATTACCTTCTCCTTCTTGTTTTGGGCTGTGCAGCTGCTGCATGACCAGGTGGGGGTGGTGTGCTTCGCCCCCTACAAGGCGCTCTTCCTGCAGACCTTCTCCCGCGGGCGCTCCACCTTCCAGGCCCTGCCCAGCCTCCCCGCCCTCTATGGCTTCCCCAACCGCAACTGGTAAGACCCTCACCCCGACCCCAGCCCCCAGACCTCCGACCCTGCCCCCCCGCCCTCATGAGGCCCCTCCTCCCCCTTCTCCTTCTCGGTCTGCAGGAAGGACCCCGGGCTGAAGGGCTGCGTGCCGGCGGTGGGGCTGAAGCTGTCCGACCTGATCCAGCGCCTGCAGCTCTGCTACCAGCTGACCACCGCCGGGAAGTTCGAGGAGGCCGTGGAGAAGTTCCGCTCCATCCTGCTCAGCATCCCCCTCCTGGTGGTCGACAACAAGCAGGAAGTGGCCGAGGTGAGCAGGAAGGGGAAGAGGGATGGGGAGGTCGGCATGAGAGAGAGAGAGAGCACAAGCAGGAAGTGGAGGAGGAAGAGGAGCAGTGGATAGACAGGTAAGAGAGAGCAATGCTAGGTGGAGGGATGGGTATAGAGGCTGGTTTCCCACCGTGGTCCCTGTGAATTCGCAGACAGCTTTGGAACCTTCTAGATTAGATTAGTATGCCGCCCTGAGTTGCCTTCAGGCTGATATGGGTGGGGTAGAAATAATGTAAATAAATAAATTAGAAACATTTTAGGCGGTAGCCCCGCCCACTCTCCCCTCGAGAGTATAAGTAGCCAGTGGGAGGGGCTACCGCTCCAGTTCCTTTGATCCACCGCTCTGTCAGCAGGATGGATGGATAGATAAATAGAAAAGAGAGATGCTAGATGAATGAATAGAATGATATAGATGCTGGGTGGGTGGGTAGGTGGGTGGATAATAGATAGATATGGATAGGTAGATGGGTATGGATGGATAGGTAGGTAGGTGCGGATGAATGGATATACGCATATAGATATGGATATGGATGAATGGACAGATGGAGATGGATGGATAGATAGATAGATAGATAGATAGATAGATAGATAGATAGATAGATAGATAGAAGTAGATATGGATAGATAGATAGATAGATAGATAGATAGATAGATAGATAGATAGATAGAAAGATAGATATGGATGGATGGATGGATGGATGGATGGATGGATGGATGGATGGATGGATAGATAGATAGATAGATAGATAGATAGATAGATAGATAGATAGAGAGAGAGAGATATGGACACGGCTGAATTGATAGATATGGATATGGATGAATAGAAAGATATGGATGGATAGATAAGTAGATATGGATGAATAGATAGATATGGAGAAGTGGATGGAGATGGACAGATAGATAGATAGATAAATAGATGTGAATTGATAGATAGATATGGATATGAATGAATAGATAGATAGATAGATAGATAGATAGATAGATAGATAAGGGTGGATTGATAGGGATGGATGGATGGATGGATGGATGGATGGATGGATAGATATGAATGGATTGGATATGGATTTGGGTGATTGATAGATATGGATATGGATGAATAGAAAGATATGGATAAGTGGGTGGAGATAGATAGATAGATAGATAGATAGATAGATAGATAGATAGATAGATAGATAGATAGGGGTGAATGGATAGATAGATATGGATACGGATGAATGAATGTTAGATATGGATAGATAGATATGGATATGGATGAATAGAGAGAGATGGATGGGTGGATAGACATGGATGGATGGATATATATGGATGGATAGATGGATGGATGGATGGATGGACAGACAGACAGATAGATAGATAGTAGATATGGATGAATAGATAGATATGGATAAGTGGGTGAATATGGATAGATATAGATAGATAGATAGATAGATAGATAGATAGATAGATAGATAGATAGATAGATAGATAGATAGATAGGGTTGAATGGATAGATAGATATGGATATGGATGAATGAATGTTAGATATGGATGGATGGATATGGATATGGGTGATTGATAGATATGGATAAGTGGATGGATATGGATAGATGGATAGATAGATACGGATGAATGAATGTTAGATATTGATTGATAGATAGATAGACAGCCAGATAGATAGATAGATAGATAGATAGATAGATAGATAGATAGATAGATAGATAGATAGGGATAGATATGGATAGATAAAAGATATGGATGAATAGATAGATGTGGATAAGTGGATGGATATGGATAGATGGATAGATAAATCGATAGAGCTGAATGGATAAATAGATGTGGATATGGATGGATGGATGGGATAGCTATGGATCCTGGTGTCTTTCCTTCCTGTGTCCTTCTAGGCACAGCAGCTGATTGCCATTTGCCGGGAGTACATTGTGGGCCTCTCCATGGAGATTGAGCGGAAGAAGCTGCCCAAAGACACCCTGGAAGAGCAGAAGCGCATCTGCGAGGTGCGCGCGGACTGGACGGGACGGGGCCCCTTCCCCACTTTCACTTCATGCACCTGTTGTTGTTGGTGTTGCTTTTCTATAACCCTGAACAAGCTGAGACCCCACCCAGCATTCATAGTTATTTCCTTGCTGCTGCTGTTGTTGTTACTTCTCTCCAACCCTGAACAAGCTGAGGCCCCATCCAGCGTTCAGAATCATTTCCTGGCTGTTGTTGTTGTTATTGTTATTGTTATTGTTGTTATTGTTTCTCTCCAACCCTGAACAGGCTAGGGCCCCACCCAGTATTCATAATTATTTACTTGCTGTTGTTGCTGTTGTTGTTGTTATTGCATCTCTCCAACCCTGAACAAGCTGAGGCCCCACCTAGCATTCATAATTATTTCCTTGCTGTTGTTGTTGCTGTTGCTGTTGTTGTTATTGCTTCTCTCTAACCCTGAACAAGCTGAGGTCCCATCCAACCTTCATAATCATTTCCTGGCGGTTGTTGTTGTTCTTGTTCTTGTTGTTATTGTTGCTTCTCCCGAACCCTGAACAAACTAAGGCCCCATCTAGCATTCATAATTATTTCCTTGCTGTTGTTGTTGTCGTTGTTGTTGTTATTGTTATTGCTTCTCTCCAACCCTGAACAAGCTGAGGCCCCATCCAGTGTTCGTAATCATTTCCTTGTTGTTGCTGTTGCTGTTGTTGTTGTTGTTATTGCTTCTCTCCAACCCTGAATAGCCTGAGGCCCCATCCAGCATTCAGAATCATTTCCTGACTATTGTTGTTGTTGTTGTTGCTTCTCTCCAACCCTGAATAAGCTGAGGCCCCATCCAGGGTTCCTAAGCATACCCTTGCTCTTGTTGCCCTCCTCCTGCTCCTCCTTCATCCTGAGCGGTGTCCTCCTCTCCTTCCCAGATGGCGGCCTACTTCACGCACTCCAACCTGCAGCCGGTCCACATGATCCTGGTCCTGCGCACGGCCCTCAACCTCTTTTTCAAGCTCAAGAACTTCAAGACGGCCGCCACCTTTGCCCGGCGCCTCCTGGAGCTGGGGCCCAAGCCAGAGGTGGCTCAGCAGGTAGAGAAGGAAGGGTGGGACAAAATGTATCCCCATATGAGCTCCTCGTTCATATACACATACTACCTACATGTCTCTCCGTCTCGTCTCAGACACGGAAGATCCTGACGGCCTGCGAGAAGAACCCCTCGGACGCGCACCCGCTCAACTACGACATGCACAACCCCTTCGACATCTGTGCCGCCTCCTACCGGCCCATCTACCGGGGGAAGCCCGTGGAGAAGTGTCCCCTCAGCGGGGCCTGCTACAGCCCTGAGTTCCGTGGCCAGATCTGCAGAGTTACCACCGTAAGCAAGACCCCCACCCCATAGAGTGGGAAGGGGGACCCCAAAGGCCATCCAGTCCAACCCCCAGGAAGCAGGCTCTTCTATTTACTATTTTCCGGTGCCTCTTTGAACCAGTAATGGATACGTTGTCGCTTTGAGTCCCCTTGAGAATGAATTATAGTAGTAATCATAAATTTCTGGGGGGATGGAGAACCTTGTACTATTACAATGGTGTAACAAACATAATATTGATGTTTTCCAAATAATTAGTCAGATCTTCCAAAAGTGTGTAGACAAACTTTAACATATTTTAGAGGTCTGTTTGTCATCCCTACATAAAGAAGTTTACAAGGACAATGGATTAGGTAAATAACTCGATCTGTGTTACATGTGGTAAAGGTTCGTAATTGTATGACAATTGTATATCGATTGGGTTCCTCCCAATGGATGACGTTTGGCGGTCCCCCCCCCCCCCAATGTATCACCTTTGGGGGTCCCTTCCAATGGATGTAATTTGGGGGTTCCTTCCAATGGATGGCTTTTGGGTGTGCTTTCCAATGGATGGTCTTTGGGGGTCCTTTCCAAGGAATGACCTTTGGGGTCCCTCCCAATGAATTGCTTTTGGGGGTCCTTTCCAATTGATGGTCTTTGGGGGTCCCTCCCAATGGATGGCCTTTGGGGGTCCCAATAGATGGCCTTTGGGGGTCCCTTCTAAGGGATGGTCTTTGGGGGTCCCTTCTAAGGGATGGTCTTTGGGGGTCACTTCCAATAGATGGCCTTTGGGGGTCCCTTCCAAGGGATGACCTTTGAGAGTCCCTTCCAAGAGATTTATTTATTTATTTGGTGCATTTGTTGACCGCCGCTCTCAGCCCTGGGGCGACTCGCGGCGGTGCCTTTGAGAGATAGCCTTTGAGGGTCCCCCGTGAGGGATGGCCTTTGGGGGTCCCTCCCAATGGATGGAATTTTGGGGTCCCTTCCAATGGATGGCCTTTGGGGGTCCCTTCTAAGGGATGGTCTTTGGGGGTCATTTCCAATGGATGGCCTTTGGGGGTCCCTTCCAATACATGGCCTTTTGGGGTCCCTTCCAAGGGATTGTCATTGGGTGTCCCTTCCAAGAGATACCCTTTGGGGGTCCCTCCCAATGGATGGTCTTTGGGGGCCCTTCCAATGAATCCCCTTTGGGGGTCCCTTCCAATGGATGGCCTTTGGGGGTCCCTCGCAATGGATGGAATTTTGGGGTCCCTTCTAAAGGATGGTCTTTGGGGGTCCCTCCCAATGGATGGTCTTTGGGGGCCCTTCCAATGAATCCCCTATGGGGGTCCCTCCCAATGGATGGCCTTTGGGGGTCTCTTTCAATGGATGGCCTCTGGGGGTCCCTTCCAATAAGTGGCCTTTGGGGTCCCTTCCATTGGATGGAATTTGGGGGTCCCTTCCAGTGGATGGCCTCTGGGGGTCCCTTCCAATGGATGGAATTTGGGGTCCCTTCCAATAGATGGCTTTTGGGGGTGCTTTCCAATGGTTGGCCTTTGGGGGTCCCTTCCAAGGGATTGCCTTTGGGGGTCGCTTCCAATAGATGGCCTCGGGGGGTCCCTTCCAAATCTGTGTACTATATCTATCCCATATCAACCTATAATAACAAATTGAAGAGCCAGGTTCTCAATACCCCCAGATATTGATAATTATAATGATGATCCATCCACAATGTTGGTCCCGACGTCCTTTTGTGTTTTGTTCCGGCAGGTGACGGAGATCGGGAAGGACGTCGTGGGCTTGAGGATCAGCCCGCTGCAGTTCCGTTGAGCCCGGATTGCCTTCCATTGGGCGCCTCCTGTTTCTTCTTTTCCCTCCACCCTGATACTCATTGTATTCCCCTACTTTTGTAACTCATTGTATTCCCGCCCCTTCTGAACCTTGCTCAGCGAGACCTCCACTCCCCCCCGTTTGCCCGCTTCCGTTCCTCTGCCTTCCCACCTCCCTTTCTCGGCTGTCCTTTTGTGGGAACGAAAGAGGGTTTGGGGAGGCTTGGGAGTGTTTCACAGAGGCTGAAATTGGGGTCGTGTTTCTCGATATTCGATATAAGAAAGGGATTAACAGCTTCATATTGGCACATTCCTCAAGGGTTAATAAAGTGAAACTGCTCAGAAGGAAAGTGTCGCTTGCGTTTGGCTCGATGGGATTAAAAGGGAGTCAGTTTGCAAGGTCTATTATCCGTTCCCGTTTTGACAGGAAAACGTATTCCACGAAGGGATTCTCATTTTCCGGGGAGACGAGGCCTTCCTTTTATTTCCCATCGTGGTCAACTGTGAATACGTACATATGGTAGTTTCTGCGCCTGAGCCTGAGAATCCAAGCCGAGTCGAAAGCACACATGAACAGGAGCAGCAACCTGCAGATCCCAAACCCTAAGCCGAACACGGAATAGGCAGCGACAAGTCCGGACAGTAACTAATCCACAAACGTAAACCAACACCTTGCTTTCTGCAAAGATTCACCATTTCTGAACCTACTTTTATCTTACACATCATCATCAGAAGATGAGCTGACCTCTGCCCCATCATTATCCCTTGCAGCTGTTCTTGACTCCACACGTGAACTCCTAATCCCATCTCTCCACCTTCTCCATCTTCTGTCAAGACTTAGATCCCGCCAAGACTCAGATGTATTCCCCAATTGCCAGTCCTCATTACCCTTATTTTGCATAGAATTATGGAAAAAATAGACCCCTGTCTGATTCCACAGCAAAGGCAAAAGCTGCACATCGCAAGCTTCGGAACCTTCTAGATAGATTTGAAATACTTTGGTGGTTGGCCCCGCCCACCCGCGAGTATAAGTAGCAGGTGGGCGGCGCCACCGCCTCAGTTCTCTTCATCCGCCGCTCTGTCAGCAGCTGAGAACCTTTGTTTGTGTGACTAGCTTTTTTGGACTGACACTCAACCGAACTGTTTATCGCTCTCTGACGTTCTTGACTCTGACCTGGTCTGTTTGATGGATTTCTGACTTTAAGTATTCTCCTTTCAACTGTCATGGCGGCCACTTCGGCCTTTAAGCGCTGTGCCTCATGCTCAATGAGCTATTCAGACAAAGTTGGCCTTTTGTTATGTTTGTTGTGCCTGGGGGACAGACAGACAAGGAAAAATCTGGTACTTCCTGAATGCACAGGAAGTCACCCTCTAGAATAATCTCTGTGTCGGCCAATGCAACAGACCGTAGGATCACGCCGGAGGAGTTACAAATACCTAGAGGAGCGTTCTTTATAGGAATCCCTATTGCCTTCATTGCAACTCGATGGGAATTTGGGCCTCTGCACGTGCTCTAATAAATAATCCTGGAGCGGCGGGAAGACGAATCAACTTCCCGCAATGAGTGGCGCACGTATATATTAAGGATGTGCAAATGCTCGTTTTTCATTCGTTTTTTGGATCAGATTCGTGAAATTCGTGCATACTAATCGATATTAGAAACATGCAGGAAAGGTGAGGAGGGAATGCACGAATGCCTAGAGAATTGTACCAGAGGACATACCAATGCATAGGGAGGACGAGCGAAACCCACCAATAATAATAAATACAGAGCATCCGAAATCTGAAACTTATAAACCTACACTTCGCGCATGCTCAGGAGCTCTCGTTTCTAAACTGAGCACTTCCCGAGCGAAAGAAAGCCTTGGGCACTCTGCACGTGCTCTAATAAATAATCCCTAAAGTGGCAGATCGGCACCAAAACTATTTGGATCTATTGCTGAAGCTGAATCTACTTCCAGAAACGAGTGCCTCGCATGTACATTAGGGATGCGCAAATGTTCTGGGTTTTCGTCTAGTTTCCAAAAGCTAGAAGTCCATTACTCTCAAGCAGGACAGAAGTAGAAGCTTCAACAGCGAGCTCTGTGTTGCTGTCTTCTTCCTCTGTATTTGTCAGTGCCCCATTGTCCTGATCTGCAGTTTTCTAGAGAGGAAATTACCTCAAAGGCAGACTAGAAGGGCTTTATTTCTCAAAGCATACAGTACGGTTACACAAAAAGTTCCATCTGACAGTCGCTTTCCCTTCTCACCTCATATCCATCACGCTGGCCCTCCGCTTCACAGCCTCATTTCTATGGAACCCCCTGATCTGTAGTTTCCTAGAGAATAAATTGCCTCACAGGCACACTGGAAGGGCTTTATTTTTCAAAGCATACAGTACGGTTACACACAAAATTCCACCTGACAGTCTCTTTCCCTTCTCACCTCATATCCATCACTCTGGCCCTCCCTTTCACAGCCCCGTTTCTATGGTAACCCCCCCTCTTGCTTCAAGTGAGCTACAGGCCAAGGCATGGCATGGCCAATTTTCATGGTTCCCCACAACACCAGGACAGGAGGTCATGGCACTCACTGACTGACTTTGCAAACTTCATGGCTCCTCAGTGCTGTTTATGCTTGCTAATTGCAACATTCACACTTGCTTCAAACAGACAAGGGTTCTTTCTCCCACCCTGGACATAATTCCACAGGGATATTTTACACTCCACTTGCTACTTGTATGCAGATCTCCTCACTGCCCTGATCTGTAGTTTCCTAGAGCAGAAATTGCCTCACCGGCAGACTGGAAGGGCTTTATTTCCCAAAGCATACAGTACGGTTACACACAAAGTTCCATCTGACAGTTGCTTTCCCGCTGGAGGACATACAAATGCATAAGGAGGACATGCGGATGTCCTGATCTGCAGTTTTCTAGAGAAGCAATTACCTCACAGGCAGATAGGCAGGGCTTTATTTCTCAAAGCATACAGTACGGTTACACACAAAGTTCCATCTGACAGTTGCTTTCCCTTCTCACCTCATTTCCATCATTCTGACCCTCCCCTTCACAGCCCCATTTCTATGGAAACCCTCTCCCTTGCTTCAAGTGGGCTACCGGCATGGGCATGGCCTTCTTTCATGGTTCCCCACAACACCAGGAAAGGAGGTCGTGGCATTCAGAATGTATTTCAATTCAGTGCGTCCTCCTGCATTCATTACGATATTTAGACGGTTGGTTCGTAGGAAAAGTTGAAGACTTGCTTCCTTCCATACACCTATAGCAGGGTTTCTTCAACTTGTAGTACCAACTTCCCAACGAGCGCTGTGTTCGGCTTCCTTGCTCCTCTTTCAAAATGGCCGACTTCAAGGAATCTGCTGGATCTGGCTATGAGGCTCTTAAAGAGAAAGAGGTTCCCTCCCATAAACTATACAATTAAAAGCTGAACTAACTAAATAATAAAGTCTCTGGGAACAGGTTCGACCACACACGGTAACGTCTCGCAAAGTATTAAGGAGAGGACGCCGGCCAAGAGTTGCGATCGTTTTCGGATTCCAAGCATCCTTTGCAGAATCCGTCGGAGCCACAAAACATTAAGGGATGCTCCTCTTGACGCAAAGGCGGCCATATTGTCCTATTCTTAGAATGAAAGGATTGATAGAGACAAATGGCTCTCAAGGTCTGAGCGACCCGCCGGTCCCAATGATGGGCGCCGCCTCTTCGGACCACGGCTGACCGCCGACTCGGGGCGTCTGATTCTGGCTTCTGTTGAAGTACGACACGGAGAGCATTGCGATCATCAGGCACCAGAAGAAGAAGTTCACCCAAGCGGCCGACTGGAAAAGAAGGGACATTCGGTGATGTTTGGGACTACAACACCCATCATCCAGGACTTGGTCACAACTCCCAGCGTTTTCCCCTACTCACCTCCGCCGTGTAGAGGTTGTCATAAAACCTATCAGCGCGGATTGGAGGGGCCCACTTTTGGTGCTGGGCTTCTTGGCAGCTGCACGGGAAGTGAAGAAAATATGGCGTCAGTCCTCTCGTATAATCACTTTCACCTGACATATGAACCGTCAGTTGGAATTTTGTTTCATACCCCAATGTATGCTTTTAGAAATAAAGCCTTCTCATTTTTTTGGTGAGGTAATTTATTGTGTTCCCATGGACTGTAGAATTATTATTATTATTATTATTATTATTATTATTATTATTATTATTTAAAATATGCATAGGGAGTGTCCTCTCTTTAAGTCGAACAATGAGGATGTCCTATCTGCAGTGTTCTAGAGAAGCAATTGCCTCACAGACAGACTGGAAGGGCTTTATTTCTCAAAGCATACAGTATGGTTACACACAAAGTTCCATCTGACAGTTGCTTTCCCGCTGGAGGACATACAAATGCATAGGGAGGACATGCGGATGTCTTGATCTGCAGTTTTCTAGAGAAGCAATTACCTCACAGACAGACTGGAAGGGCTTTATTTCCCAAAGCATACAGTACGGTTACACACAAAGTTCCATCTGACAGTTGCTTTCCTGCTGGAGGACATACAAATGCATAGGGAGGACATGCGGATGTCTTGATCTGCAGTTTCCTAGAGAAGCAATTGCCTCATAGACAGACTGCAAGGGCTTTATTTCTCAAAGCATACAGTACGGTTACACACAAAGTTCCATCTGACAGTTGCTTTCCGGCTGGGGGACATACAAATGCATAGGGAGGACATGCGGATGTCTTGATCTGCGGTTTTCTAGAGAAGCAATTACCTCACAGACAGACCGGAAGGGCTTTATTTCTCAAAGTATACAGTACGGTTACACGCAAAGTTCCATCTGACAGTTGCTTTCCCTCTCACATGATATCCCTCACTTTGGCCCTCTCTTTCATAGCCCCATAGAGAGACCATTCTTATGAGTAAACCTGCCAATGTGGGTTGGGCAATAACAATAATCAACACAGAGGAGGGAGTGTCTGAACCCCATAAACAGAGGACGCAACCTTGTTGCATGAACTTGCCTTAAGGCTGCAGCGGATCTCTGGATGGAAGCGCACAGAGTGTCCATCCCGACCCGAAGGATGCAAGCGGAGACCATCAGGAAGAAAAGGACGCCGGCCGAGACCGCCAAGGAGCCCTTGAGCCACACGCCACTGCCCCTGTGAGGGAGACACACACACACACGTGTTGGGAACAATGCAGATAGCACCACCGCATGCCCCATCATGTCTCCCATACCTGCCACCCATACTCACGGGCCCCGCTCTCCGAAGCAGGCGCAGTAGATGCCGCGGATCAAGACCACGAAGGAGAGGACGGCGGTCAGGATGGAGACGGCGGAGACGAAGCGGCAGAGGGACGGAGGGCTGGAGGCCGAGAGGCTGATGTTCCCGTCGTAGCGCACCGAGCCATAGAGGATGCAGCGGCCCCCGAACTCCCCCTGGAAAAGCCCAGAAGAGGGGAGAGGAAATGGAAGAGATACGGGTGAGGAAGAGAGGACTGAGGAGGAAATACATCACTGGGATATATAGCTATTCCAAAGGCAGACTGGAAGGGCTTTATTTCTCAAAGCATACACACAAAGTTCCATCTGACAGTCGTTTTTCCTTCTCACCTCATATCCATCACTCTGGCCCTCCCCGTCACAGCCTCATTTCTATGGAAATCCCTGATGTGTAGTTTCCTAGAGAATAAATTGCCTCACAGACAAACTGGAAGGGCTTTATTTCTCAAAGCATACAGGACGGTTGCACACAAAGTTCCATCTGACAGTCGCTTTCCCTTCTCACCGCATATCCATCACTCTGGCCCTCCCCTTCACAGCCTTGTTTCTACAGAAACCCCTGATCTGTAGTTTCCTAGAGAATAAATTGCCTCACAGACAGATTGGAAGGGCTTTATTTCTCAAAGCATACAGTACGGTTACACACAAAGTTCCATCTGACAGTCATTTTCCCGAGTGTCGTACATACCAGATAATGGTGTAGAACGGCACCGTGATGTAATGGGTTGACTGGTAAGGTGTGTGTTGGCAGTTGATTGGCTAATCCAGTCAGCCAGAATTCTGATTGGCTACTGTCTCTAGCTTGCTGCTGAGAGAAACGGTTTTAACTGCCATTTTTACCTCAGAGAATGAAGAGAGTGCTGACTGGAAACAAGAAGGAGATGGCTGCCAACTGATACGATAAAATTATTATTATTATATTAATTATGAAATGTATTATATTTATTATTATATTTATTATTATATTTATTATTATATTTATTTATATCCCATTTGAAATATACAAACACTAAATATAAACAGTGTCTTAGAAATGCACATGATATGATAAATGCACACGATATTTCAAGTGAGGTATAAATAAATATAACAATAAATATAATAAATATAAATATAATAATAAATATAAATATAATAAATATAATAATAAATTTAATAATAATATTTATTATTATATTTATTATCTTTATTTTTTAATATTATATTTATATTTATTATATTATATTTATTATCTTTATTTATATCCCATTTGAAATATACAAACACCAAAACTGGACTAAATATAAAAAAATGTTTTAGAAATGCACATGATATGATAAATATATTATTATTTAATTTATTATATTTATTATTATATTTTATTATTATATCTATTATTATATTTATTATATTTATTGTTATATTTATTATCGCTGCCACTTTTGCCTCGGAGAGTGAAGAGAGCGCTGACTGGACACAAGAAGGAAATGGCTGCCAACTCTCTGAAATTGACATATTAATATATATTATATATTTATTACATATTATATTATTTATTATATTTACTGTTATATTTACCCCATTTGAAATATATACAAACACTAAAACAGGACTAAATATGCACAATGTTTTAGAAATGCACGTAATACGATAAATATATTATTATTTAATTTATTATTATATTTTATTTATTACATTTTATATTTTATTATAATAATATCTATTATCTTTATTATATTTATTATATTTATTGTCATATTTATTATTATAGCTGTCACTTTCACCTCAGAGAGTGAAGAGAGCGCTGACTGGAAACAAGAAGGAAATGGCTGCCAAATCTCTGAAATTGGCAGCCATATTAATATATTATATTTATTACATATTATATTATTTATTATATTTATTGTTATATTTATTTATACTCCATTTGAAATATACAAACACTAAAACAGGACTAAATATAAACAATGTTTTAGAAATGCACATGATACAATAAATATATTATTATTTAATTTATTATTATTTATTATATTTTATTATTATTGTATCTATTATTATATTTATTGTTTATTATATTTCTATTTATTATATTTATTGTCACTTTCACCTTGGAGAGTGAAGAGAGCACTGACTGGAAACAAGAAGGAAATGGCTGCCTACTCTCTGAAATTGGCATATTAATATATATTATATATTTATTACATATTATATTATTTATTATATTTATTGTTATATTTATTCATGCTCCATTTGAAATATACGAACACAAAAAACAGGACTAAATATAAACAATGTTTTAGAAATGCACATAATACGATAAATATATTATTATTTAATTTATTATTTTTTATTATTATTGTATCTATTATTATATTTATTATTATATTTATTATATTTATTGTTAATTATATTCATATTTATTGTCACTTTCACCTTGGAGAGTGAAGAGAGCACCGACTGGAAACAAGAAGGAAATGGCTGCCAACTCTCTGAAATTGGCATATTAATATATATTATATATTTATTACATATTATATTATTTATTATATTTACTGTTATATTTATTCATGCATGTTTCAGAAATGTGCACTAAATATGCATAATGTTTTAGAAATGCACATAATATAAATATATCATTATTTAATTTATTATATTTATTATATTTTATTATTATTATATCTATTATCTTTATTATCTTTATTGTTATATTTATTATTATAGCTGTTACTTTCACCTCGGAGAGTGAAGGGAGCGCTGACTGGAAACAAGAAGGAAATGGCTGCCAACTCTGAAATTGGCATATTAATATATTTTATATATTTATTACATATTATATTATTTATTATATTTATTGTTATATTTATTCATGCCCCATTTGAAATATACAAACACTAAAACAGGACTAAATATACACAGTGTTTTAGAAATGCACATAATACAATAAATATATTATTATTTTATTTATTATTATATTTATTATATTTAATCTCACTTTCACCTTGGAGAGTGAAGAGAGCGCTGACTGGAAACAAGAAGGAAATGGCTGCCAACTCTGAAATTGGCATATTAATATATTTTATATATTTATTACATATTATATTATTTATTATATTTATTGTTATATTTATTCATGCCCCATTTGAAATATACAAACACTAAAACAGGACTAAATATACACAGTGTTTTAGAAATGCACATAATACAATAAATATATTATTATTTTATTTATTATTTTATTTATTATATTTTATTATATTTAATCTCACTTTCACCTCGGAGAGTGAAGAGAGCGCTGACTGGAAACAAGAAGGAAATGGCTGCCAACTCTCTGAGATTGGCAGACATATTAATATATATTATATTATGTTATTTATTATATTTATTCATGCCTTTGAATTATACAAACACAAAAAAACAGGACTAAATATACGCAATGTTTTAGAAATGCACATGCCCTGCCTTTGGAAATGTGCCGAGCGTATTAATCCCTCCGGCAACAGAAAAGAGGCCCATGTAGTGGAAAATGAGAACGCAAAACAGCCTTGTGATGCTCGACCACGCGCCAAAGAGGAAGGAAGTGAGGCTCGCCACAAGGAGAACGACATGCCAACGGACTTTCGCTCGTTCAGCTGATGCGCCTCATGCGCCAAAGACGACTCACATGACTTAAAAGAGGGAAAGGAGGTTGAAAAGGGAAGGCTTTCCCAATGAGACACCCAGGGAAACCTGGCCATGACCATTGCACTTTGCACATGCTCAGTGACATTCCAAACTCAATGAAGCACTCTGTGCATGCTCAGGGGAAACTTTATTTCAAAGTTTAATGAGAGTTTTTGCACATGCTCAGAGGGAGAAAGGAGGCAATGAGGCACAGGCAGTGATAATATTTCACATTATTAGATTGATTATATCATTATTGTATTACTTTTCTATTTTATATTATATTTATTACATTATTATGTATTATATTATTTTTATATTTTATATATTATATTTATTATATCATTATATTATTTTTATATTTCATATTATATCTATAGCATTATATTATTTTGTATGTTACATTATATTTATTATATTATTTCATTACATTATTTTTATATTTTTATTATATTTATTATATCATTGTTATATTAATTTTATATTTTATAACGTATTATATATTATATTTGTCATATTATTGCATATATTATTTTTATATTTTATATTATTATATTTATATCATTATATTATTTTTGTATTTCATATTATTTTATATTATTATTTTATTTCACAATTTCATTATATTTTATTTTTATATTATTTTTATTATATTATTATTATTTCACTCAATGTCATTAGTGTATATTTTATATTAATTTTATTATTTAATATTTTATTATATTTTATATTTTATTTTATTGTATATGATATTATTATTTCACTCAATTGGATTATTTTATATTATATTTATTTATTATATTATTTCATTACATTATTTTTATATTTTTATTATATTTATTATATCATTGTTATATTAATTTTATATTTTATAACGTTATTATATATTATATTTGTCATATTATTACATATATTATTTTTATATTTATATTATTATTTTATATTTATATTATTATATATATTTTTATATTTTATATTATATTTAATATATATTTTTATATTTATATTTATTTATTATATATTATTTTTTTATATTTATAATATTATTATTTTATTTATTATTTATATTATATTATATTTATATATATATTATTTGTTATATTTAAATATTTATATGCATGTCTTGTAGTTATATTATTTATTATATTGATTATTTAATTAATATTTTATATTATTATATTTATTATTTATATATTTATATTTATTTTAATATATTCTTTTATTTTATATATTTTTATTATTTTTTATATTTCATATTATATTTATATTATATTCTATTTTATTTTACATTATTTTATTATTATTTTTATTTTTTATATTTTATTATATTATATTAATTATATATATTTATTATATTTATATGTTATATTATATTTGTCATATTATTACATATTTTTATGTTTTATATTTATATTATTATATTTATTATATCATATTATTTTATAGTATATTCGGTATTATTATATTCATTATTGTATTATATTATACATATTTTTATGTTTTATATTGTTATATTTATTATATCATATTATTTTTTCGTACATTAATTATTATTATATTAATTATTATATTAATTATTATATTATATTACATTACATTATATTGATTGTATTCTGTTTCTGAGACTTGCAGAAACTCTATCAGAGAGGTCTAGGCAGAATCCCACGTGCTCATGTTGAGAAGCCCTACCTGTCCAGACTCACCTGGGTGACGGTGAGGGCAGAGGCACAGATGACTCCACACAGGAAGGAAGCAATTATTATTATATTAATTATTATATTATATTACATTATATTGATTGCATTCTGATTCTGAGACCTGCAGAAACTCCAGCAGAGAAGTCGAGGCAGAAGCCCACGTGCTCATGCTGAGAAACTCTACCTGTCCAGACTCACCTGGGTGACGGTGAGGGCAGAGGCACAAATGACTCCACACAGGAAAGAAGCAATTATTATATTATTATATTATATTACATTATATTGATTGCATTCTGCTTCTGAGACCTGCAGAAACTCCAGCAGAGAAGTCAAGGCAGAAGCCCTACCTGTCCAGACTCACCTGGGTGACAGTGAGGGCGGAGGCACAAATGACTCCACACAGGAAAGAAGCAATTATTATTATATTAATTATTATATTATATTACATTATATTACATTATATTGATTGCATTCTGGTTCTGAGACCTGCAGAAACTCCCATCAGAGAAGTCGAGGCAGAAACTCCACGTGCTCCTGCTCAGAAGCCCTACCTGTCCAGACTCACCTGGGTGACGGTGAGGGCAGAGGCACAAATGACTCCACACAGGAAAGAAGCAATTATTATTATTATATTATATTATATTATATTATATTATATTATATTATATTATATTATATTATATTATATTATATTATATTATATTATATTATATTGATTGCATTCTGTTTCTGAGACTTGCAGAAACTCCACCAGAGAAGTCAAGGCAGAAGCCCTACCTGTCTAGACTCACCTGGGTGACAGTGAGGGCAGAGGCACAAATGACTCCACACAGGAAAGAAGCAATTATTATATTATTATATTATATTACATTATATTGATTGCATTCTGGTTCTGAGACCTGCAGAAACTCCCATCAGAGAAGTCAAGGCAGAAGCCCTACCTGTCTAGACTCACCTGGGTGACAGTGAGGGCAGAGGCACAATTGACTCCACACAGGAAAGAAGCAATTATTATTATATTATATTATTATATTATATTATATTATATTATATTATATTATATTATATTATATTATATTACATTATATTGATTGCATTCTGCTTCTGAGACTTGCAGAAACTCCACCAGAGAAGTCAAGGCAGAAGCCCTACCTGTCTAGACTCACCTGGGTGACGGTGAGGGCAGAGGCACAAATGACTCCACACAGGAAAGAAGCAATTATTATTATATTATTATATTATATTATATTATATTATATTATATTATATTATATTATATTATATTATATTATGATTGCATTCTGTTTCTGAGACCTGCAGAAACTCCATCAGAGATGTCGAGGCAGAAGCCCTACCTGTCCAGACTCACCTGGGTGACGGTGAGGGCAGAGGCACAAATGACTCCACACAGGAAAGAAGCCGCACTCAGGGCCAGGCCGGCCAGCAACATGCCCAGACCACCACCTCCGGCCGCAGCAGAAGGAGGCATCCTGGCTGAAGGAGGAAAAGGAAAGGAAGCCGGGCAAAGGAAGCCACACCTACACCCCTGGGCACACCCACAGCCACGCCCACCACAGCCTTGAGACTTGTCAGCACTCCCCAAAGGCCATCCAGACACAGGAAGGCACCCTCAAAGCCCTCCCAACAGAGGCAGATTCAAGTTGGAACCTAGAGAAATAGAAATTCAAGGAGTATACAAATCAAGTCATATGCAGATGACACCCAACTCAGGCCTTTCCCGACTGGTGTTTTGGACTTCAACTCCTACAATTCCTGGCCTCGGGCCTCTTTCTTTTCTCCCTCCGCCGGAGGGGGAAAAGGAAGGGGCCTGACGCCAGGAATTGTAGGAGTTGAAGTCCAAAACACCCGTCAGGAAAGGCCCGAGTTGGGTATCATCTGCATATACATGTCACCGCACTCCAAAGCTCAGGGTGATCTCTTCCAGAGTGGAAAGAGTCATAGAGTTCGGTGTCATCTGCATATACATGTAACCACACTCCAAAGAGTATGGAAAGAGTCATAGAGTTCGGTGTCATCTGCATATACATGTCACCGCACTCCAAAGCTCCGGGGGATCTCTTCCAGTTTGGAAAGAGTCATAGAGTTCAGTGTCATCTGCATACACATGTCATTACACTCCAAAGCTCTGGGTGATCTTTTCCAGCATGGAAAGAGTCATAAGAGTTCGGTGTCATCTGCATATACATGTCACTGCACTCCAGAGCTCCAGGTGAACTCTTCCAGTGTGGAAAGAGTCATAGAGTTCAGTGTCATCTGCATACACATGTCATTACACTCCAAAGCTCTGGGTGATCTTTTCCAGCATGGAAAGAGTCATAAGAGTTCGGTGTCATCTGCATATACATGTCACTGCACTCCAAACCTCTGGGTGATCCCTTCCAGCGTGGAAAGAGTCATAGAGTTCAGTGTCATCTGCATACACATGTAAACTATTTATTATATCATTACTATATTATTTTTATATTTCATATTATATTTATATCATTATATTTTGTATTTTACATTATATTTATTATATTATTTCATTATATTATTTTTATATTTCATATTATATTGATATAATTGAGTCATAGAGTTCGGTGTCATCTGCATACACATGTCACCGGATTTATTATATCATTACTATATTATTTTTATATTTCATATTATATTTATATCATTATATTATTTTGTATTTTACATTATATTTATTATATTATTTCATTATATTATTTTTATATTTCATATTATATTGATATAATTGAGTCATAGAGTTCGGTGTCATCTGCATACACATGTCACCGGATTTATTATATCATTACTATATTATTTTTATATTTCATATTATATTTATATCATTATATTATTTTGTATTTTACATTATATTTATTATATTATTTCATTATATTATTTTTATATTTCATATTATATTGATATCATTGAGTCATAGAGTTCGGTGTCATCTGCATACACATGTCACCGGATTTATTATATCATTACTATATTATTTTTATATTTCATATTATATTTATATCATTATATTATTTTGTATTTTACATTATATTTATTATATTATTTCATTATATTATTTTTATATTTCATATTATATTGATATCATTGAGTCATAGAGTTCGGTGTCATCTGCATACACATGTCACCGGATTTATTATATCATTACTATATTATTTTTATATTTCATATTATATTTATATCATTATATTATTTTGTATTTTACATTATATTTATTATATTATTTTATTATATTATTTTTATATTTCATATTATATTGATATAATTGAGTCATAGAGTTCGGTGTCATCTGCATACACATGTCACCGGATTTATTATATCATTACTATATTATTTTTATATTTCATATTATATTTATATTATTATATTCTTTTGTATTTTACGTTATATTTATTATATTATTTCATTATATTATTTTTATATTTCATATTATATTGATATAATTGAGTCATAGAGTTCGGTGTCATCCGCATACACATGTCACCACACTCCAAAGCTCCGGGTGATCTTTCTCTGTGGTTTCATGTAAATATTAAACAGCATGGGGGACAGAGTAGGGTTTTGGCCTTCCGACTAATTCAGGACCAGGGCGGCATCCTTGGCTTTGGGTGGAGAGGAGGCATAGAGGTGGGTGTCATCTGCATATACATGTCACCGCCATTGTCCTCCCAACCCTGCTATATGCCTGTGAAACATGGACTGTCTACAGATGTCATATGCAACTCCTGGAACAATTCCTGTGGCATAGGCACCAAGAACTGGGAAGCCCTGGCCCTTTGGGAGCTCCAACCAGAGGTCAGCTGTGACCAGCAGTGCTGCGGAATTTGAAGAGGCACGAATGGAGGGCAAAAGGGAAACCTTTCAGCCTGAATATTGTTATTATCCATTTTATTATATTTACTCAATGTGATGAAAGGACATGGAAAGACGCAAACAGAAAGGAAAAGTCATTTCGTAGAATTAATATAATATATATATATACACACACATTCATTTTTCCGTGTTACCACACTTTAGGTTATTTACGTCTATTATTTATTATTGTATATTTCCATAATACTTTACATTATTCTTTTGGTCAATTTTTTTATTATTGTATATTTCCATATTCTGATATTTTACATTATTATTTTTATCTATTTTCTATTTTTATATCATTCATTTTACAATATTTTACATTATTATTTTCATCTATTATTTATTTTGCAATTTATTTTACAATATTTTACAGTATAATTTTACTTTATTTATATTATTATATAATTTATTTTACATTATTATTTTAGTTATTTATTATACTTTTCCATATTCTAATATTTTACAGAAAAGAAAAGGGATTTAGTAAAATTAATTTGTAGATCTATATATTTATTTCCGTGTTACAACACTTTAGGTTATTTACGTCATAGATATATACATACATATATATATATATATATATATATATATATATATATATATATAATTATTCTTGTCTATTTTTATTATTTTACAATATTTTACATTATTATTTTTACATTATTATTTTATTATGTTTGTCCATTTTCTATTATTATATATTTCCATGTCACAATATTTTACATTATTATTTTTTATCTATTATTTATTTATTATATACAATTCCGTATTCTAATATTTTCGTCTATTTTGTATTATTATATAATTCATTTAACAATATTTTGCATTATTATTTTTGTCTATTATTTATTATTAGGTTATTTATTTTACAATATTTTACGGTATTATTTTACTCTATTTATATTATTATATAATTTATTTTACAATATTTTACATTAGTATTTTAGTTATTTATTATACTTTCCCATATTCTAATATTTTACATTATTATTTTAGTTATTTATTATACTATTATAAAATAATAATGTAAAATATTAGAATATGGAAAAGTATAATAAATAACTAAAATAATAATGTAAAATATTAGAATATGGAAAAGTATAATAAATAACTAAAATAATAATGTAAAATATTAGAATATTATTTTAGTTATTTATTATACTTTCCCATATTCTAATATTTTACATTATTATTTTTTCTATATTCTATTATTCTATATTTCCATGCTATCATATTTTACATTATCATTTTAGACTATTATTTATTACTCTACTTTTTCATACTCAAATATTTTACATTATTATTTTTGTCTATTTTCAATTATTGTATAATTCATTTTACAATATTTTTTCATTTATTATATATTATTATATATTTCCATGTATTATCTTACTCTGTTTTTATTATAATTTATTTTACAATATTTTACATTATTATTTACTATATATATAAATATATATAGTATATATAGTATAGTACATAGTATAGTATATAGTATAGTATATATATAGTGTGTGTGTGTGTGTGTGTGTGTGTGTGTATATACACACACACACACACACACACACACACACATACACACAAACAAACATACTCAGGTATATTGCAAGATAACCGAGGACTCAATATGTAATATATTTTACTATATATATAGTATATAGTATAGTATATAGTATAGTATATAGTATAGTATATATAGTGTATATAATATATATAGTGTGTGTATATATATATACATACACACACACATACTCAGGTATATTGCAAGATAACCGAGGACTCAATATGTAATATATTTTACTATATATATAGTATATAGTATATTTAGTATAGTACATAGTATAGTATATATAGTGTATATATATATAGTGTGTGTATATATATACACATACAAACATACTCAGGTATATTGCAAGATAACCGAGGACTCAATATGTAATATATTTTACTATATATATAGTATGTAGTATATTTAGTATAGTATATAGTATAGTATATATAGTGTGTATATATATAGTGTGTGTATATATATATACACACACACAAACATACTCAGGTATATTGCAAGATAACCGAGGACTCAATATGTAATATATTTTACTATATATATAGTATAGTATATAGTATAGTATATAGTATAGTATATATAGTGTATATATATATAGTGTGTGTATATATATATACACACACACACACACATACTTAGGTATATTGCAAGATAACCGAGGACTCAATATGTAATATATTTTACTATATATATAGTATATAGCATATATAGTATAGTATATAGTATAGTATATATAGTGTATATATATAGTGTGTGTGTATATATATACACACACACACATACTCAGGTATATTGCAAGTTAACCGAGGACTCAATATGTAATATATTTTACTATATATATAGTATATAGCATATATAGTATAGTATATAGTATAGTATATAGTATAGTATATATAGTGTGTATATATATATATAGTGTGTGTATATATATATACACACACACACACACATACTCAGGTATATTGCAAGATAACCGAGGACTCAATATGTAATATATTTTACTATGTATATAGTATATATAGTATAGTATATAGTATAGTATATATAGTGTATATATATATATTGTGTGTGTATATATATAAACACACACACACACATACTCAGGTATATTGCAAGATAACCGAGGACTCAATATTTAATATATTTCACATGCTCGTGGAGGACTCAGTGCGGAGCCTAATGAGAAGCGGTCCCCTGAGTGTATGCAGAGTGCAAACGAGCCAAATCTCTGCATCAGAGCGGTGTCGAATCCTGGGCTGCAGCCTCGTCACCCAATTGCATTGAGACACGATGGCTGCCTTTTGCATGCTGGGGATGATGGGATTGTCGCCCAATCCCCTTGGCTTTGCGGGACTCCTTTTCCGGCGCTTTATGCAGGAGGCTATCGAGCATCTTCTGCGCCGATTCGTAGTCCAGTCGCGCGTGGGAGGCTTTCTCCACCAAGCCGGGGCTCCAGGAGACTTCGCCGTCGTCGGAACTCTCCGAAGACGTCAGCTCCGGCACCAGCTCCAACTGGGAAGCTGTTGGGGATGATGGGCGCTGCGATCCGAAGGCCGACGGCTTCATAGACGGCAAGGAAGGGAACGCACCGGGCCCTGATGGCTCCATAGAAGTCAATGGAGGAAGAGCGCCGGGACCTGATGGTTTAACAGAATGCAATTCAGGAAAAGCACCGGGACCTGATGGTTTCACAGAGTGAAATATGCAATATATATTAAAATATTTCCCTAAAGTAGAAACAGGATTCTATCTATCTATCTATCTATCTATCTATCTATCTATCTATCTATCTATCTATCTATCTATCTATCTATCAATTAGGCATGGTTAGGTTCGGTCGGAATCTTCATAATTCGAATAAATTTGGAAACTTTCCTTTTTGAAGCGACTTCTAAGTTTTTAAGGACACCAGAAGTCCCTTTGCCCTTCCGAAGATTTTTCTGCCATTTCTCTTACGAATCAGTAAGTGAGTCAGAAATGATTCAGCGTCTCCCCCACTTCTGTTCCCTTGCCTCGGTTCAAGCCAGAGAAGCAGATTAAAGCAGTGTGGATGGATTCCCTTCCTTTCCCTCCCCCGTCTGTTTTAAGCGAGAGAAGTGGTTTAAACCAATGTGGATGGATTATCTTCCTTTCCTTTCCTTCTCGTCGTCAGTCTTAAGCGAGAGAAGCAGTTTTAACCAGTGTGGATGGATTCCCTTCCTTTCCTTTCCCTCCTGAGTCAGGCTTAAGGAAGAGAAGTGGTTTAAACCAGTGTGGATTCCCTTCCTTTCCTTTCCCTCCTGAGTCAGTCTTAAGCAAGAGAAGTGTTTTAAACCAGTGTGGATGGATTCCCTTCCTTTCCTTTCCCTCCTGAGTCAGGCTTAAGTGAGAGAAGTGGTTTAAACCAGTGTGGATTCCCTTCTTTTCCTTTCCCTCCCGTATCAGTCTTAAGCGAGAGAAGTGGTTTTAACCAGAGTTGATGGATTCCCTTCCTTTCCTTTCCCTCCTGAGTCAGTCTTAAGCAAGAGAAGTGTTTTAAACCAGTGTGGATGGATTCCCTTCCTTTCCTTTCCCTCCTGAGTCAGGCTTAAGTGAGAGAAGTGGTTTAAACCAGCGTGGATTCCCTTCCTTTCCTTTCCCTCCTGAGTCAGTCTTAAGCGAGAGAAGTGGTTTTAACCAGAGTTGATGGATTCCCTTCCTTTCCTTTCCCTCCTGAGTCAGTCTTAAGCAAGAGAAGTGTTTTAAACCAGTGTGGATGGATTCCCTTCCTTTCCTTTCCCTCCTGAGTCAGGCTTAAGTGAGAGAAGTGGTTTAAACCAGCGTGGATTCCCTTCCTTTCCTTTCCCTCCTGAGTCAGTCTTAAGCGAGAGAAGTGGTTTTAACCAGAGTTGATGGATTCCCTTCCTTTCCTTTCCCTCCTGAGTCAGGCTTAAGGAAGAGAAGTGGTTTAAACCAGTGTGAATTCCCTTCCTTTCCTTTCCTTTCCTTTCCCTCCTGAGTCAGTCTTAAGCAAGAGAAGTGTTTTAAACCAGTGTGGATGGATTCCCTTCCTTTCCTTTCCCTCCCCTGTCAGTTTTAAGCGAGAGAAGCAGTTTAAACCAGTGTGGATGGATTCCCTTCCTTTCCTTTCCCTCCCGTATCAGTGTTAAGCAAGAGGAGCGGTTTAAACCAGTGTGGATGTATTCCCTTCCTTTCCTTTCCTTTCCCTCCTGTTTCAGTCTTAAGCGAGAGAAGCGGTTTAAACCAGTGTGGATGTATTCCCTTCCTTTCCTTTCCCTCCTGTTTCAGTCTTAAGCGAGAGAAGCGGTTTAAACCAGTGTGGATGGATTCCCTTCCTTTCCCTCCCACGTCAGTCCTAAGCGAGAGAAGCTGTTTAAACCAGTGTGGATGGATTCCCTTCCTTTCCTTTCCCTCCCACATCAGTCTAAGTGAGAGAAGCGGTTTAAACCAGTGTGGATGGATTCCTTTCCTTTCCCTCCCGCTTCAGTCTTAAGCGAGAGAAGTGGTTTTAACCAGTGTGGATGGATTCCTTTCCTTTCCCTCCCGCTTCAGTCTTAAGCGAGAGAAGCGGTTTAAACCAGTGTGGATGGATTATCTTCCTTTCCTTTCCCTCCCGCTTCAGTCTTAAGCAAGAGAAGCTGTTTAAACCAGTGTGGATGGATTCCCTTCCTTTCCTTTCCCTCCCACATCAGTCTAAGTGAGAGAAGCGGTTTAAACCAGTGTGGATGGATTCCTTTCCTTTCCCTCCCGCTTCAGTCTTAAGCGAGAGAAGTGGTTTTAACCAGTGTGGATGGATTCCTTTCCTTTCCCTCCCGCTTCAGTCTTAAGCGAGAGAAGCGGTTTAAACCAGTGTGGATGGATTATCTTCCTTTCCTTTCCCTCCCGCTTCAGTCTTAAGCAAGAGAAGCTGTTTAAACCAGTGTGGATGGATTCCCTTCCTTTCCTTTCCCTCCCACATCAGTCTAAGTGAGAGAAGCGGTTTAAACCAGTGTGGATGGATTCCTTTCCTTTCCCTCCCGCTTCAGTCTTAAGCGAGAGAAGTGGTTTTAACCAGTGTGGATGGATTCCTTTCCTTTCCCTCCTGCTTCAGTCTTAAGCGAGAGAAGCGGTTTAAACCAGTGTGGATGGATTATCTTCCTTTCCTTTCCCTCCCGCTTCAGTCTTAAGCAAGAGAAGCTGTTTAAACCAGTGTGGATGGATTCCCTTCCTTTCCTTTCCCTCCCACATCAGTCTAAGTGAGAGAAGCGGTTTAAACCAGTGTGGATGGATTCCTTTCCTTTCCCTCCCGCTTCAGTCTTAAGCAAGAGAAGCGGTTTTAACCAGAGTGGATGGATTCCCTTCCTTTCCTTTCCCTCCCGCTTCAGTCTTAAGCGAGAGAAGTGGTTTTAACCAGTGTGGATGGATTCCCTTCCTTTCCCTCCCATATCAGTCTTAAGCAAGAGGAGCGGTTTAAACCAGTGTGAATTGATTCCCTTCCTTACCTTTCCCTCCCGCGTCAGTCTTAAGTGAGAGAAGTGTTTTAAACCAGTGTGGATGGATTCCCTTCATTTCTTTTCCCTCCCACTTCAGCGAGAGAAGCGTTTTAATCAGAGTGGATGGATTTCTTCCCTTTGCTTTCCCCCCTCCCCCTGCCCTGCTTCTGGAATAAAATAACTACTTTCAAAGTAAAGACCACCCAATGAAACAGGAAATAACACTTTGAAACCATTAACAAAAGAATTTAGAAGTCTTAGAAGTTTTTAAAAATTTTGAACATTTTTTTCTGTGAAAATAAGCATTGGCTTTAGATCCGAACCACCAGCGCCCCCTACATCCGAAATGAGTTTTGAACCATTTTTTTAAAGGAATGTTTTCATTCGGGGACCATTTCATCCTAAATGTTCTGTTTTTTTCTCCACAATGGACATCCCAGGGTTCCTTTCTCTGTCTTTCTCTCTCTCTCTCTCTCTTAACCCTTTCCTACAATACCAGGACTAATAGAATGCAATGGAGGAAAAGCACCAGGACCTGATGGCTCCATTGAAGCCAATGGAGGGAAATCCCCGGCTCCCGTAGGCGCCACCAAAGCCTCTTGCCGCAGGTACAAGAAGCGCGGGGCTGTGAATGTCGGACCACAAAGCGGCACCATCTCCTCTCCGCTGCATTCGCTCTCCGTCGAGTTGACTGTTTCAGATGGGAAACGGGTAGGCCTCGGCTTCCAGGGGGCAAAGGCGGTGTGGGTCCCATGTCCCCGGCCACGGTGCCTGGCCCCCCCTCCAGACTCTGACCCAGAGCTCCCATTGGGCTTCCCTGCCTCGGGTGCCGAGTCCGACTGGCTGAGGGCGGCTTCTGGGGCGCCGTCCATGAAGGCCGCGGGGGGAGCCACCTCCAGGTTGAGCAGTGAGGAGAGACTGTCCGGGGTGTCCGGCCGTACACCTTGCCTCCTCCGCTGGCCGCACACCAGCCCCGAGATCTGCAGAAATGAGAAGGCAAACGGTCTACGAAACCTGTGATTTCTCCCCAAGCTTCAGTATTATGCTACAGCAAGGTGATGCTGCAGCAAAGAAGGCCAATACTATTCTACATCTCAGAATTGAAATGCATTGCATTGTAGTAAAAATACAGCTCTAATGGACATGTGGTCACAGCACATTCCACTGAAAGGGTTGGGAGAATGGAAATGTGATCCTAGACTTGGGATATAAACAAACATAATAATAATAATAATAATAATAATAATAATAATAATAATAATAATGATGATAATAATGGGATAAAAACAAACAATATTATTATTATTATTATTATTATTATTATTATTATTATTATTACAAGTTGAATTGTTAGTCTTGAGGGAGTTAGAACGTTGACTTTTTATTACCTTAATAAAAGTAAATAAAATGAATTCACGTCCTTTGAGAGAGAAGAATCGATATCAAATTGAAGAATATAATGGCACTGTAGGATGGAGAGACGTTGCTGGACGAGAGCTTGGCTCAAATAAAATTAAATAAAATGAAGTAATTTAATAAAATTAAATAAGATGAATTAAATTAATAAAGACAATGGGTCAAATTAATAAAATTAAATAGAATGAATCGATAAAATAAATTAATATAATTCAATCAAATTAAATAAAAAGAATAAAATTAAATAAAGTTAACAAATAAAATGAATAAAATAAAATGAATAACAAAATAAAATAAAATAAATAAAATGAACAAGACTAAATAAAATGAAACAAATTATTTATATAAAATAAAATAAATAAATAAAATAAACAAGATTGTTTAATAGAATGCAATTCAGGAAAAGTACCAGGACCGGATGGCTCCATTGAAGTCAGTGGAGGGGCCGGATGGTTTAATAGAATGCGTATAGGTCTTGTATTATATATTATTATGTGATATATTATTAGTATTAGTATTATAATTATATTAGAATTATTATTCAATCGAATTAAATAAAAAGAACAAAAATTAACAAAAATTAATAAATTAAAGATAATAAATAAAATAAAATAATAATATTAAATAAAATTAATAACATTAAATAAAAATGAGTAAAACTACATAAAATGAAGTAAATTATTTAAGTCTGCAGAAGGGCCGGATGGTTTAATAGAATGCAAAGAGTATTTTGCCCCCCACCCCCGCCCCAAGCAATCTCTGATATATATTTTTCTGTTCATCGTGGGAGTTCTGTGTGCCATATTTGGTTCAATTCCATCATTGGTGGAGTTCAGAATGCTCTTTGATTGTAGGTGAACTATAAATCCCAGTAACTACAATTGGCAGATGTCAAGGTCTATTTTCCCCCAAGAGCGCCCCTGGGCAAAATCAACTGTACTGCGAAGGCTTACTTTGCGTATGGGTTGAGCCGCCCCTGCCCCAACTCCATTGGTGGAGTTCAGAATGCTCTTTAATTGTAGGTGAACTATCCATCCCAGTAACTACAACTCGCAGATGTCAAGGTCTATTTTCCCCCAAGAGCGCCCCTGGGCAAAATCAACTGTACTGCGAAGGCTTACTTTGCGTATGGGTTGAGCCGCCCCTGCCCCAACTCCATTGGTGGAGTTCAGAATGCTCTTTGATTGTAGGTGAACTATCCATCCCAGTAACTACAACTCGCAGATGTCAAGGTCTATTTTCCCCCAAGAGCGCCCCTGGGCAAAATCAACTGTACTGCGAAGGCTTACTTTGCGTATGGGTTGAGCCGCCCCTGCCCCAACTCCATTGGTGGAGTTCAGAATGCTCTTTGATTGTAGGTGAACTATCCATCCCAGTAACTACAACTCGCAGATGTCAAGGTCTATTTTCCCCCAAGAGCGCCCCTGGGCAAAATCAACTGTACTGCGAAGGCTTACTTTGCGTATGGGTTGAGCCGCCCCTGCCCCAACTCCATTGGTGGAGTTCAGAATGCTCTTTGATTGTAGGTGAACTATCCATCCCAGTAACTACAACTCGCAGATGTCAAGGTCTATTTTCCCCCAAGAGCGCCCCTGGGCAAAATCAACTGTACTGCGAAGGCTTACTTTGCGTATGGGTTGAGCCGCCCCTGCCCCAACTCCATTGGTGGAGTTCAGAATGCTCTTTGATTGTAGGTGAACTATCCATCCCAGTAACTACAACTCGCAGATGTCAAGGTCTATTTTCCCCCAAGAGCGCCCCTGGGCAAAATCAACTGTACTGCGAAGGCTTACTTTGCGTATGGTCAATTCCATCATTGTGGAGTTCAGAATGCTCTTTGATTGTAGGTGAACTATACATCCCAGTAACTACAACTCGCATATGTCAAGGTCTATTTTCCCCCAAGAGAGCCCCTGGGCAAAATCAACTATACTGCGAAGGCTTACTTTGCGTATGGGTTGAGCCGCCCCTGCCCCAACTCCATTGGTGGAGTTCAGAATGCTCTTTGATTGTAGGTGAACTATCCATCCCAGTAACTACAACTCGCAGATGTCAAGGTCTATTTTCCCCCAAGAGCGCCCCTGGGCAAAATCAACTGTACTGCGAAGGCTTACTTTGCGTATGGGTTGAGCCGCCCCTGCCCCAACTCCATTGGTGGAGTTCAGAATGCTCTTTGATTGTAGGTGAACTATCCATCCCAGTAACTACAACTCGCAGATGTCAAGGTCTATTTTCCCCCAAGAGCACCTCAAGAGCACCCCTGGGCAACATCAACTCTACCGCGAAGGCTTACTTTGCGTAATGGATTCGCCGCCCCTGATCTCATCTTATATATTTATTTATTTATTAAAATAAATAAATAAAATGAATTAAATTAAATTAAATTACCTTACCTAATCTGTTAAATTCCTTGCTAAGTGTTCATCGGTGTAAACCCAACTCTGTTCCCGGAAAGATTAGAGCCAATACTATTCAATACGAAGTCATCAATGAGGGTTGTGATTCCTCACCGAGCTTCAGTCCTATTCTAAGGGAAGGCCAATGGAGTTCTGCAAGGGAACCACTCACGTTGATCTTCTCCAGGGCGTTGATGGTGTTCTGGGCGCTAATGAGTCTCTCCAGAAGTTCGTTGATGCGCTGGTTCAGCGCCTGACGCTCCTCCGCCATGCTCCCCGCCTGGGACGGGAAAACGGGGTGCACTTTAATATAATATCGTCATATAATAATATAGTTATTATCATAACATAATCAAATAATAATAATAATAATAATAAATTATATAATAATAAATAATAAATTATATATTAATATAAAATAATAATAATTATATAATACTGTAATCCAGTGGTTCTCAACCTTCCTAATGCCACGAACCCTTAATACACTTCTTCATGTTGTGGTGACCCCCAACCATAAAATTAGTTTCATTGCTACTTCATAACTGTCATTTTGCTGCTGTTATGAATAGTAATGTAAATATCTGATATGCAGGATGTCTTTTCATTCAATGGATCAAATTTGGCACAAATATCCAATACACTCAAATTTGAATACTGGTAGGATTGGGGGGGGGGGGGGGGGGGGGGGGGGGGGGTATTGATTTTGTCATTTGGGAGTTGTAGTTGCTGGGATTTATAGTTCACCTACAATCAAAGAGCATTCTGAACTCCACCAACGATGGAATTGAATCCAACCTGGCACACAAAACCCCCATGACCAACAGAAAATACTGGAAGGGTTTGGTGGGCACTGACCTTGAGTTTTGGGAGTAGTAGTTCACCTACATCCAGAGAGCACTGTGGACTCAAACAATGATGGATCTGGACCAAACTTGGCACGAATTCTCAATATGCCCAAATGTAAACACTGGTGGAGTTTGGGGGAAATAGACCTTGACATTTGGGAGTTGTAGTTGCTGGGATGTATAGTTCACCTACAATCAAAGTACATTCTGAACCCTACCAACGATTGAATTGGTCCAAACTTCCCACATAGAACCTCCATAGCCAACAGAAAATACTGTGTTTTCTGCTAGTCTTTGGTGACCCCTCTGACACCCCCTCGCGACCCCTCCAGGGGTCCCGACCCCCAGGTTGAGAAACACTGCTGTAATCAATACAATAATATTATACATATACATATACATATACATACATACATACATACATATATATATATATATATATATATATATATATATTAAAAAAATAAATTATATAATAATAAAAATAATAATAATTATTATATAATATTATAATCAATACAATAATATTCTAACATAATATATAACATAATATGCTGCAGGATGTCCTTACAATGATGTGAAGCTTCTCTTCCAGCAACTGGTTGGTCAGCCGGGTGTCCGAATATTCCTCCTGGAGCCTTTTGGGAAGAAAAGACAGATATGAGGAGAGAGAAACTGGGACATTTTAAATAAATTGGATTATTTTGGTTAATTTATTTTGTCATTTTATTCAATTCATTCATTCATTTTATTAATTTTATTCATTTCATTGAATAAATCAAATTTTTATTTATTTTAATTGAATTCACTTAATTCATTTTATTTATTTTATTGTGTTTTATTTAGTTAATTTATTTTATTCATTTTATCAAATAAATTAAATATTTATTTATTTTAATTGAATTCACTTAATTCATTTATTTTATTTATTTTATTGTGTTTTATTTAGTTAATTTAATTTAACTCAATACACTTTATTTTATTATATTTGTTTTATTTTAATTTATTGATTGTATTTCATTTAACTCATTTAATTTTCTTTATTTTATTTTATTCATATTATTTTAATACAATTATTTTATTAATTTATTTTTTAAAATTTAATTCAATTTGTCTCTCCATAAATAGTGCCATTACTTTCACTGATTCTAGATGACAAGGATTTTTCTTTTTTAAATTGTATTTTATTAATTTTATCTTATTAATTTAGTTGATTTAGTTGATTTATTTTATTTTATTTATTTTATGTTATGGTATTTAATTAAATTAACTTAATTACCTTAATTCAATTTAATTCATTTAGTTCATTTTATTCAATTCCTTGTATTTAATTCAATTAATTGTATTTCATTTAATTCATTTAGTTCATTTTATTTTATTACTTTAAATCAATTTAATTCATTTGATTTAATTAATTGTATTTAATTTAATTCCTTTTATTAACTGTATTTAATTTAATTTGTTTTATTTAATTCATTTTATTTTATTCCCTTAAATCAATTTAATTCATTTAGTTCATTTTATTCAACTCCTTGCATTAATTTCAATTAATAATATTGAATTTAATTCATTACATTCTATTCCTTTAAATTTATTTGATTAATATAATTCAATTTAATTTAATTCCTTGTATTCAATTCAATTAATTAATTTAATTCGTTTAATTTTATTAATTTTATTTAATTCATTTTATTTTATTTCCTTAAATCAATTTAATTCATTTAATTTAATTAACTGTATTTAATTTAATTTGTTTTATTTAATTTGTTTTATTTTATTACCTTAAATCAATTTAATTCATTTAGTTCATTTTATTCAATTTATTCAATTTAATCAATTTAATTTAATTCATTAAATTTGACTCCTCTAAAACAATTTGATTCACTTTATTTTATTTAATTCCTTGTACTTAATTAGTTGTTTTTCCTTTAATACATTTAGTTCCTTTTATTTTATTACTTTAAATCAATATAATTCATTTAATTTAATTAACTGTATTTAATTTAATTTGTTTTATTTAATTTGTTTTATTTTATTATCTTAAATCAATCTAATTCATTTAGTTCATTTTATTAAATTTGATCAAATGTATTTAAATTCATTACATTTTACTCCTTTAAAATAATTTGATTCATTTAATTCACTTTATTTTATTTAATTCCTTGTACTTAACTCCATTAGTTGTATTTCCTTTAATTCATTTAGTTCATTTTATTCAATTCCTTGCATTTAATTTAATTTAATTTAATTTAATTTATTAAATTTTACTCCTTTAAAACAATTTGATTCATTTAATTCACTTTAATTTAATTCCTTGTATTTAATTTAATCGTTTAATTTTATTTTATCCATTTTATTTCAATCATTTTATTTTATTACCTTAAATCAATTTAATTCATTTCATTCAATTCTTGCATTTAATTTAATTAAATGTAGTTAATTTAATTCATTACATTTTATTCCTTTAAAACAATTTGATTCATTTAATTCACTTTATTTTATTTTATTCCTCGTACTTAATTCAATTGATTGTATTTCATTTAATTTGTTTAATTTTATTTTATCCGTTTTATTTAAATCATTTTTATTACCTTAAATCAATTTAATTCATTTAGTTCATTTAATTCAATTTCCTGCATTTAATTAAATTAAATGTAGTTAATTTAATTCATTTAATTCATTACATTTTATTCCTTTAAAATTTGATTCATTTAATTCACTTTATTTTCTTTAATTCCTCGTACTTAATTCAATTGATTGTATTTCATTTAATTCGTTTAATTTTAGTTTATCCATTTTATTTAATTTTATTCCAGTCAAGCGTCTCTACGCAATACCTTGACACTATTGTGTGGAGACGCTTGGCTGGAATAGAATTAAACTAGCTGTACCCGCCAGGCGTTGCTGTGGCCAACCTTCCCCCTATCTCCCCTTCTTTCCCTCCTTCCTTCACTCCCTGTTTCCTTCCTTGCTTCCCGTCTTCCCTTCTCTCCTTCCTTCCTTCTCTATCGCTTTCCTTCCTTCCCCCTTTTTCTTTCTCTTCTGCAGTCTCTCTTTTCTTCCTTCTCTCTTTCCTCCTTTCTTTCCCTCCCTCTTTCTCTACATTTTATCCCCTTCCTTCGCTCCCTCTTTCCTTCCTTCTTCCTTTTTCTCTTCAGCAAGAGGGAGGAGGGGAGGGGGGATGGGTTTAGAAGGGGGCGTGGCTTGGAGGTAACGTGAGGAGGGAGGAGGGGAGGGGGGATGGGTTTAGAAGGGGCGTGGCTTGGGGGGAACGTGAGGAGGGGAGGGGGGATGGGTTTAGAAGGGGGCGTGACTTGGAGGTAACGTGAGGAGGGAGGAGGGGAGGGGGGATGGGTTTAGAAGGGGCGTGGCTTGGGGGTAACGTGAGGAGGGGAGGGGGGATGGGTTTAGAAGGGGGCGTGACTTGGAGGTAATGTGAGGAGGGGAGGGGGGATGGGTTTAGAAGGGGCGTGGCTTGGGGGTAAGGTGAGGAGGGGAGGGGGGATGGGTTTAGAAGGGGGCGTGACTTGGAGGTAACGTGAGGAGGGAGGAGGGGAGGGGGGATGGGTTTAGAAGGGGCGTGGCTTGGGGGTAAAGTGAGGAGGGGGGGGGGAGGGGAGGGGTGGTGGTGGTGGAGGAGGAGGGGATGGAGGGGGGGCGGGTTTAGAAGGGGGTTGGCTCGGGGGTAAACGTTGAGGCTTGGAGGGGGGAGTGTTTAGAAGGGGGTTGAACTTGGAGGTACG